GGGAGAGGGAGAGAGAGAGAGCAGTGGTTATAAAAATATAGCGATATCAATAACTAGATGTAACCAAATTATTTATAAGTTTAGGAATTTTGTTATTTAAAAGACATTTAAACTTTTCATCATCACCTATATTAAAATATAAAAAATAAGAAACACCCTGTGTTTGGTTCTTGAAGTTGGTTGCAATTCGGCAAACAAAAAATATAGGAACTTGCAATCGAGTTCGCAAATTCGATATAAAGGTGGCTTCTTGCATAAAATAACCGTAGGACTATTATTCCCTCCGAGAAGGGAACCAGGTACCGAATTATAGAAATTCGATACATAGATGGGCTTTTTTTTGCATCCTGAAAATGGACAAGCGACTTGGAACCAAGCCCGTTTCGCTCGAATTAAATAATATTTTCTTTGAGGAAAATAAACCATCGATATATTGACAAAAATTCGTATGCTTTGGATATCAACATGTTCGTTTCGCTATTTTATTATTCTGCGACTATGCATTACAAGCTTTTCTTATACTTTGAACTTGAGTGTGAATAAGCATAGATCCGAATGGTGTGTTTGGCTTTTTTCCAAGCATTCTTATTGAAATTTCCGTGAAAGACTTCGAGCAGCTAAGAGGTGACCCACCTACAAATAAGTAGTTAGAGCAATAATATGATAAACAACTTTTTATCAAGATTTTTATTAGATGATGGCCAATTGGGATTTTTTTTTTCGTTCTTTGCAATATTTATTCGAATCAAAATCGAACAAAATTCAGTCACAGAGTAATCAGCTGTTGCCTGGAAGGAAACAAGGTTGCATTTCCCATATTTAAATAGCCCACTGTGCCCATTACATTGTCAGCGCTGCCATTTCATATGCAAAATTCGTATGCCATAAATTATTGTGTTGTCTATTTTATTCTGTTTTTTTTTTTTTTTTTTGCTTTAAGTGGCATTTAGTATTTACTGTATGTTTATAGGCGCACCTCCATATATGGCTTCCCCATTCAATATTTTGATTTGTGAATCTAGAGTTATGCTCTTAAATGGCTAACACACGTACATTTGTATGTATGTATGTATGTATGTATGTAATGCATATGCGCAATCAACTGCCGCAAATATGTCAGTCATTGATGATAGACATTAGACGGCATGACCGCAAAAATTACTACATACATACAAATCATGTTTTTTAACTATTGTATTATATAAATATGTGCAATAGACATACTTACACAATTTTTAAAATTGTTATTGGCATAAAAAATATTTAAAGAATATTAGCGGGATTGAAAAATGTTGCGTCACATTTTGGTTGTCTAATAATTTTTCACTTTCTTTGGCTGAATATTTTTCTGCTTCTTCTTTTATAAATTATTGCCGTTTGGCGTTTGACCATTGTGGGCAATATACATACATATATACATGAATATGTATACAGCATGTAAACAATAAGCTGCCGTGTCCGCTGCGCCTATTTTTGCTTTCGCTTTCGATTTCGATTTCCAACAAAGCGGCGTGCGGTTTGAAACACATGTACCGTTAGAATGTAGCGCATTTATAGATAGTTTATACATACGAGTACATATGTACAATCGTACAAATGCAGGCGTTTGTGTGTGCATACTGAATACTATTAATCTAATCACTTAATAGAATCAACTAATTTTCCGCCAAAAGCTTTGAGACTTGCAGCAAACGTTTATACATATATATGTATTAATTGCTTTGCCGATTTCTGTTGCGAAATGACGTCACATAACACGTCATGGCTCCATATAAAATTTTACTATTTCATATGTAAATACATACAAACAAACAAACATATAAAGTATTTATATGCACTGAGATTGCTCTTTTTTGCGCTTTTGCTTTTATGACACTGCAGCCTGCGCAGTGAAGTAAATGACAACAAAGGCGAGCTGCTTACTGAGGGCGGTCTGTGCGTGTGCGTGTGAACACGTTGTATAGGTATTTGTGGGTGTTCGATGGGTTTGAATTCTACCTATTACTGATGATTCAGTTGAATCAACGGCGCATTCAGCGAAAGTAATCACACGGCGGCAGGCAGCCAGACACATGAAAGTGAGCGATTTTAGTAAGTTGTGTGTGGACTGCAGTGAAGGAAGCTAACTCAACTTGGAGTTTAGTGGCAGAAAGTGTAGTATTAACAAAATTGTTTAATGATAAATTAACATAAAAAAAATTATTAAATTCAATGCAAAAAAAGAAAATTTTTAAATTAGAGATTTACGAAAAAAAAAAATAAATAAAAATTAAACAAAAAATTGTATAAAGCCAGAAATTTAATTTAGCGAACTTTATAAATTTTTCCCATAAAAATATGTGTATTTTTTCATTTTAAATTATTTTATTTTATTTGTTGAAATCTTTTTTTAATTCATGTTCTTTAATTTAATTTTACTCCATTTAGTTCACTTCTTTTTCTTTTACTTCATTTTATTTCATTTTGTTTTATTTAATCGTATTTTGTTATATTGTTTGTAATTATTGAATTTTGATTTATTTATCTAATTTTTTTTTATTGTATTATTTACAATTTTTTTTATATATAATTTTATTTTTTTTTTTAATATTATTTATTCATTCTACATATATGTACATAAATCAGCGAAAGTGCCACAGCATGACGTAATATTTCGAAATATTTTGTTTTGTCAGTAGAAAACAAAGCAAAATATAAATCCCAAAACCATTTATTAGACAAAAATTAATGAACAACATTTTCAAATTGGTATTTTTTTTTGCGGAGGCAGTGAGGTAATAACACTTATAAAGAAAACAAGCAAGTTCTGAAATAACAACTACTAATAAACACAATATAATAACCGCAGTAAAAAAAAATTAAGTAAATAAAATAAATCACAATTTGAATTTCAAGTGCAATAAAAAAATAAATAAAACTGTCACGCGGCAAAATAAAAACAAAATTCATTTGCAAATAAATATTCCTGTGCCAGAAAGAAAGAAAAAAAATGATATAAATTAAGCAAGAAAAGAAAAAAATCAAAAATTAATAAAAAGATCAAAATGTTATATATTAAATTAAATTAAATAATTTAAAGGGAAAACACAAAATTAATAATTAATTGAAAGTGGACTGAATTACATTAACTTAAAGTAAATTAACTTAAACTAAATTAAATTATACTAATTAACTCAAATATAATATTTATGGAAAATAAATAATTAAAACAAAATTAAATTATATTAAATGAAACAAAATAAAATAAAATAAAATAAAATGAATTGAAATAAAGCATAACAAATTTATGGTATTACATTTTAGGATTAAATAATTATTCCCATATCTGAGAAATTGGTTGAAGAGAACTTCATCTTAAAGTTTTCCGATTTACATGCTCTTAGATGATTTTTAACCGATTTATTACACAAATTTTTAAATCATGAGGGAGTAGTTTGCGTACAAACAGACGGACAGACAGATATGGCTAAATCAACTCAACTCGTCATTGTGACTCGGTTGATACTTACATACGAGGTGTGTTCAAAAAGTATCGCGAATTTTGAATTTTCGTGGGTTACGTATAATCGAATTTCGATTCTTTTGTGGCGTTATGTTGGTACTCATGTCTGTCACTTATGCCGACAAGCTCGGTAATTTTGAATGTTCACTCAATTGTTGACAGCTGCTTTGCTTGCACGTGTTTTGGATGGTCTTCGATTTTTACCTATTCAAAAAAATGGCTCAAAGAACCTGTATCAAATTTTGTGTGAAAAACGAAATTAAGTGCGCGGATGCATTCCGAATGTTGACTGTGGCATACGGAGAAGCAACCGGAGCCGGACCGAAGCAACGTTTATCGGTGGTACAAAATGTTCTCAGAAGGCCGAGAAGATGTGAACGACGAAGAGCGTGCCAGACGCCCGAGCACTTCAACAACAGACGAAAAAATTAATGAAGTGGAGAAAATGGTATTGCCACAGGGTAGAAAGGTCCATAAGGAATATGACATGCAAGTTATGCGCAATTTGCGCGAAGCAATCCGCCAGAAACGCCCATTTGTGGAAGAACAAAAATTGGCTTTTGCACCACGATAACGCTCCTGGTCACACATCGTTGCTTGTGCGCGACTTTTTGGCCAAAAACAACACACTAATGATGCCGCAGCAACCGTATACCCCAGATCTTTTTCTTGTTCCCTAAACTGAAGAGGCCCATGAAAGGAAGACGTTACGCTACTATTGACGAGATAGAGACGGCATCGAAGGAGGAGCTGAACAAGATAAAAAAAAAATGATTTTTTGAAGTGCTTCGAAGATTGGAAAAACCCCTGGCACAAGTGTATAATATCTCATGGGGATTACTTTATTATTGATATTCATGAATAAATAAATAATTTTTGAAAAAACACAAAATTCGCAATATTTTTTGAACACACTTCGTACTTCGTTCCAAGGTTATTATACCATTCCAAGTACATAAAAGGTATACATAAAGCAAATTTATGTAAATAAAAAAAAACATAAAAATTAAATTAAATTAAATTAAACAATTACACATTTTTTATATTTGAATGAAAAAAAAAAAAATTTAAACCGGCAAAACTCCAACACATGTTATTTTCTCCAGCGCGCAGAACCTAAATAATACCGCGGCAAATAAAAATATGGATTTACTCGTAATACATATATATATGTATGTTTGTCATGAAGCTGTAGCAAGTGAAATATAATTAATTAAAAAAACGCATCGGCGAAATTGTGTAATTTACCAAAGTAAATAGAGAAAAGAGCTCAAGTTTATTTCAAAGAAATATATATATATATATATATATATATAATATAAACGAAATATATTATATAAAAAAAATCTTTCGAAAAAAAAAAATAATAAAAAAATGTATAAAAAATATGTAATATATTAAAAAACTCAATATTTAAAGTTATTTAATTTATTTATTTTTTATTTATATATTTTTTTCAAAATATCACACAAACTATTTTCACTTAACTCAATTTCAGCGCATTGAATTTTCAAAATATTGCAAATCAAATTTAAACAGTGTCAACAAAATAAAAAAAAAAACTATCGCCATTACATACATATAATTACTGACCAAGCAAGATCAAAAGCGGCGGTGCTAGAGAGTTTCAACTTTTTGTGTGGTGAAGCAAAATTAAAACAAAATGCCCGTTTTTCATACGAAAACCATTGAGAGCATTTTAGATCCTGTCGCTCAACAGGTGAGTAAAAAATTTCAAAAATATTTGGCATAATTAGTATTTTAATATAATATTTTAAATGGAAGTTTCAGAAGTTCTTGAATATAAGTAAATTTCGATATTTAGTATGGCTTTTCTAGGCTGCTTTGAAACGCATGCCACACAGTTTATGATACTTTACTGCAATTTAACGTAATTTCAACTATGTCGTCAAATACCATGATTCAATAACTAAAGGTTGGATAAGAAGTGACAAGGAACACTCCCTTACAAAGGGTTGCATTTTGGAGTAGTAGTGTATAGGGGGAAAAATAGATATGTTCCGTTTGAAAAAATAGGGAAAAAAGTAGCAAAAAATGAATTAAAAAGTAAGTGAAATGGTAGGTAATTCACATGAAATTTATTATATTTCATTCATTTTAAGCACGAAGTAAATAATTTTGAAATTAAAATAATATAGCTATATTTTCTAAATAATATGCAACAATAAAAATTAATGGATCTGGAAAAAAATAATAAAATTATAAATAGTAAAATTGCAATTAATTACCCACTTTAAGGTGTGTAGAATTCGCAGATTCCGCAACAGGAAAAAAAAAATAATTAAATAGTTGTCAATATATTGAATCAACCAATGAGAAAAGCGTATGTGATATGTACCAAATGTTTTCATAATAAAATAAAGAATTTAGCTACTTCTAAAAATAATACTCTTTTTTTCCCCAAAAACACTTTTGTTTTGCAGTAAGGGAGCGCGTTTGTCAAGAGGGAGCGAGAAAGCTGTTTACTTATCCAACCTTTAATTATTGAATCATGGTCAAATACCAGCTCAGCTCATGAGAATAGTTGAAAATTTTATTAATAAATTGATTTTTCTTGTTCTTTTTTATTTTACTTTTCTCACTTAAAGCAAAGAAAAGCATAGGACACTTTCAATGAAAAATAAATATTTTATTACGTTTTCTGACTCACACTGTTATTGGTTTTTATTGAATAATTATTGAAAAAAAAAAAAAAAAATTCAACTGAATCACTGTAATTAATGTTCGTTCCATTTATAATTAATTGATGAAACATTTAACTACTTTATTTCTGGAAATTCATACTCGGCGCGACACTTGTTTGTCCCAACTTGTGAGTAGGAAATAGCAACTCTGCCGATTTGTTTACAATTTTTTTACTTCAAGTCAAAGGAAAAAACAGAGAAGCTCATTAAACACCGCTGGTGAATGGTTTTAGTTGTTGCTGTTGCTGTTGCTGTTGTTGTTGTTGTTGTTGTTGTTGCTGTTACTACATCATCTGCACATTCAATAGCTTTCGGAACATATGCGCCATACTATTTCTGTACGCTTACGTAAAGCAAAAAAAAAATGGAATACAAGAAATGGCGAAAACAGCAAAAGTTGCAGAATCTTAGAAATTTGAGCAACAAGCGGTCGGCGAAAGAGTGCATAACACATGTACAGGGTTATCCACTTGAAATTCCACATTAAATTCAAATGCCCACATCGTGAATTTTTGTCAACTTCGATATGTTTCATGTAATTTTCGAAAGGGTCAAAAGGTTGTGCACATATTGGTTGATTGGATCTCAGCCATAACTTAATGAGTGTTTATTTTCATGTACTCAAGTGTTAAGGGTTTATACGCCTAAATACGTTCCTTTTTCGGGACCTCTACAAAAAAAGAGGCCAACAGTGGCAAATCGCACGATTTTGGTGGTCAAACGACATCGCCAAGAGGAGAGATTACGCGGCCGCAATAAAGACATATTCGCTCGTTTTGTGTGGCATGTGGCATCATTTTATTGAAACCACATATTTTCCAATCGTTTCGATTCGATTAGACAGTAACAGTCTCGTCGCTGTGGCTTTCAAAGATTTAAGATCCAATCACATCTCCGGTTCAAAGAACGCACCAGACATTAAGTTTTTTTTTTGGTATAGTAGTCTCTCCAGTTACTTGAGGACTCCCGGAGCTCCGAATGCGAAAATTTGGCTTATTTACGTTTTCCGCGAGTGAGAAATATACTCGTCAATGAAATAAATTTTGTTTCAAAAATCGCCGTCCGAATGCGTATGTACGGCATTGAATTGTTACGTGAGCTGAGCTTTACTCGTATATTCCGTAAGAAAGTCCCAGCTCTTAGGAACGTCGAGAAATGACACTTCCACTTGCAGTGCCGATATTTGAGGTGCGAAACGAGCAAAACAATGACGCAAAGGGCTTCCGATCCAGAATCTTAAAATTTCTTTAAAATTTCACCAATTGCCTGAGTAGTTGGACGAATATGTGCACCATAAGCTCCTCTAAAAGTTCAAAACGTGGCCATGTTTGAATAACCATTTTTGTAGTTGGTTTTAAAAATTTTACCGTTATGTGCGGTTTTTGTTAAGCGAGCGCTTTTCATAAATGCCTGAATATTGCCATAAAAATAAACATGTTTGAAATGAGAGATAAGTTCGACAGTTGTCAAAATATCGCACTGTACTTTCGAAAGCACCAAATGGATAACCCTATGCACACATATGTATTAAATATATGCATCTATGTATGTATGTATGTGAAACCTAAGCTTGATGTGCCAGTGGATAAACCATCAGCAGATCTTTTATATTTTTTTGTCATTTTTCCGTTAGAAATTATAAACAATCAAAATGCAAGTACAACAAAAAACCATCAAATGTCAAAACTTGACAAGTGCGATCTAACAAGAAGCATCTGTGCATTCGAAATCGCCAAAAAAAAAAAAAAAAAAAAAAAAAAAAAACATTCAGCTTTTTATTTATATATTTAATTTTGCTTCCTCTACCGTTTTCCTCTATAAATGTCAACAACTGGCGCCTACGCGTTGCGTCACAAAACTTATTGAGCGGTAAAAAAAAAAGAAAAAACAGCAGAAAAAATCAAAAATAACAAAACAGTTTCTAAATGTGTGTTAAAAAAATTGCGATAATAAAAAATAACAAAAAAGGCAACTAATACACGCCATAAATGTCTACTGTGAGCAATAAAAAAAAAGAGAAAAAAAGAGAAAAAGAAGAAAAAACTAAAAACCTGCCGCATTCATTCACTTTTCACTTTGCCTCATTCAATTTTTGTTTTATCGTTTTCACGCCGTTAAAAACGCCCACCTGCGCCAGGTAGTGCCTATTTAAAGCGCTTGAGTCGCCAGCGTTGCGTTTTCATCTCCGCGCTTCTAGTTCCACTGCCATTTATAGTGAGCTCAGCTCCAGCTGTTCGAAATGTGGAAATGTGCGTAGGTCAAGTGTTTGTGACCGCGAAATGTGGCCACCTGTACATGCCTTATTGAACGGCACATTCTCAACGGACGGTCGGTCGGTCGGTCAGTCGGAGTGGTAGCGTGTCCATTTTAACAACACACACATACACACACACACTGTAGTAATTTTCTGTGAATTTACCAATTACGGTTATGCATATTTAACACGTTTTTTCTATCCGATTCTCTATTTCTTTGATATCTCACACTTCTTTATGAAACTGATACCAAAAATTTGCTGCTTACCACCATTTAAGGTTACGAAAATCGTAGATTTTTTCAGCAAAAACGCTTTGTATCGAGAAAACGGAATAAAAAACACACAAATTAGTTATGTTTAATGGTCTTGTTTTGGAGGTTATAATCAGTTGATAAAAGCTACAAAATTGTGGAATCCTTTTGATGATGATAGTTTTTGAAATTTACTACTCACGCAGTTTTGAATGGAGCACAACAAATGGTGAACTTATGCCCCCCCCCTCCGCCTTGGAGCCAAGGCTATAGCTTGGTTCCTGGTTGATCACGCTTCATTTTTGAGGAGTTCTCAGAGGGGTGTGCGAGTGCAGGATGAGTAAACTCAGTGGGCTAAACAGTCTTATTCTCTTCCATCCGTACTTGCTCACGTACGTGCGATTGGTGATGAGTGGTGCAAGTTATAACGTTCCAATCAATGAAAACCGAGCACTCGAAAAGGCAGTTGGAGCCTTGTCTGTGCACGCTCTGCACTCCATCAATACGGGCTTACCTTACAGAAGCTTAGCAGTACATCCAATTGGATGTTGTATGTGTACTAAGACCTTTGATTTGCTTCAAGGGTACATAGCACTGAAAGGCTGAGGCAGTCGACGGTGATAGCCTCGCCAGTGTTGCTAGTTCGAGCCTCCTCGTTAGTTTTTTCGTTATCTTAAACCTCCGTTTTGACTTGGAACCAAAGTGTGTTCACTGTCGCATATGTTTGAGTTGTTGTAAGTACTACAAGTAAACGGTTGACGGATATGTTCTGTGTTATCTTTCGATTTCAAAAGATGATTTCAGCTGCAAGTTGGGGCCGAATCTTGCAAACGCATACCTTTTTTTATTGGAAAGGTTTTACATCTGTCAATAATATTGATGCATACTCAGCGTCAGTTTCTTACAACAACAATTTTTTTTTTGTATTTGCAGGAAGTTTAGATTTTCTATTTTAATTGGGAGAAAAGTGCAACTGAAGTCCATTCAATGGTTTTGGAAGCCATGCTGCAAGTGTTCGCAGACAGAAAGCAGCTATGAGCTGTTAAAATCAAGCGAAACGGTCGCAAAGGACCGAAGGGCACGACAAGAGGTTTTTGCAACATGAAAACCCCCGACTTCGCCTCCAAAAATTACCTGGAAACGCTGAAATGTAAGACCTCCTATTTCACCTATACTCCAGACTTTTCCCCTTTCGACTAAAGGCTTTTTAACGGATTCAAAACGATTTGGGGGTCACCGATTCGAACCGATTCGTTTCTTTTTTCGCTGTTTGTCGCCCATTGGAGAAACCAATTAGAGTCAAGTTCTTCTTTACCTAGTCTTTCCAACGGAATGAAGATCTTCCTCTTCCAGCGGCGAGTATTTTTTTCCATTCGGACTACATGACCTAGCCAGCGTAGCCGTTGCTGCTTGATCCTCTGAACTATATCAATGTCGCCGTATATCTCATACAGCTCATCATTCCATCGGCTGCGGCAAACGCAGTCCATAACTCGTAGAGGACTATAAATCTCACGCAAAACCTTTCTCTCAAAAACTCTCAACACGGACTCATCAGCTGTTGTCATCGTCCACGCCTTCGCATCATATAGCAGAACGGGCACGAAGAGGGACTTGTAAAGTTTAGTTTTCGTTTGCCGAGGGGAGGACTTTACTTTTCAATTGCCTACTCAGTGCAAAGTAGCACCTGTTGGCAAGAGTGATTCTTCGTTGGATATCCAGGCTGATATTGTTGTTGGTGTCAATACTGGTTCCAAGATAGACGAAGCAATTCAAAGTTATGACTGTTAAAAGTGACATAGGAGCTGAGTCGCGCACGCGATGAAGGAGATACTCGAATTTCGTCTTGCGCTCGATCACAACCAGACCCATATCATTCGGTTACTTTAAAAGTGTGGAGAAAGCAGAACTCACGGCGCGGTTATTGATGCCAATAATGTCAATATATTGTATATATTGTATATGCATATATCTATATTTATATTTTATATTATATATATATATAATATATATATATGTATATGTCTAGATAGATGTATTATTTCGGTCCGGTATATATATATGTGTACATTAATATATATTTTTTCTATAACCGAAACGAGTATATATGTATAATATATATATATATATATATATATATGTATTTATATAACTATATATCACACATTTGAGTTTTTTTCAGAATTTTCCAACCTATTTTCCGTCCTTCAATTGACACATTTTCACTACACACCTCTTTATTACACATTCTACGTGTTTTCAATAAATTAATTTAACATTGAGGCACACTTACATACATACACGTACATATGTACATATGTAAGTAGCACATTTCAAGTCAATTAAATGGCATCCATATCAACCTTGAAATAACATATTTTTACATTTTAACATGAAATGTTTATAAAACAAGAAGAAGCACAAAGCCTTTCAGCCTACATAGTATTCACAACTACATACATACATACTACTACATATAGTATCCGTATATTTGTACTATGCAAATATGAAATGTATGTAGGCGCATATTAAATTGAAAAAAAAAAAAAACATATCAACGATTACAACAAAAACTATGTAAGTGCCAAAAACAATATTTACACATTCAGAGCAACACTAAAATTCACGCCGAACCGTAAATTATAATATAAAAATATGTAATTTTGTCAAATTATATTTAATGTGCTGCAATATTGTATTGGCTATCATCCACATACGTGTATATGTATATGTAGATACATACATACATACATACAAATAGAGCGAAATTGTGTGAACAAAAATTGGCTTAACTAAAGTTGGTTTATTTTGTTCTTGTTTTTTTTTTTGCGGTGGTAAAATTAGTTTTGATTACTTTTATATATATTTATATGCATGTCGTAAATTATTTGTTTTTTTATTTAAATTTAATTTTTTTTTTTCATTTTTTGTTGTATACTTTTAATGTGTGATTTTTAGTTTCCATTATTATTGTTACTTTTCTTTTCACTATTTTTCTATACCAATTTTCTTCTGGCCCAACATTTTCCCCACACATTGATGACTAATTCGCATATTAGAGCGTTTTTTTATTTGTTTTATTTGTTTTTTGATTTTTTTTTAGAATTTCTTATTTCGCCATAAATCTTTACGGATACTTTGGCTTGTACGCCCACTTCGTAGCGCTTCAGCTGACGGCATACATATGTTTGTCCTATAGTTTACACACTATTTAGTATATACATTGTACATACATACATACATACATTGCACATACATACATACGAACATGTTGACGAACAGATAGAGAATTTTCTATTTAATTACCAGACCTTTTCCGCTTTGAATGATGTGCCATTAGACAGGATTAAGTCATGTGGCACTCTGCCAGCTCTCTTTGAACGGCAACCTGTAGGCGAAATGCTTATTTGGCTTTTTGTTGTTGCCAATAGAGAGTTCAGAGATATGTATGTATGTCTGTAATTTTTTTAATTAATTTTGAGTCTTTAATTTTCGCTGAAGAACTTGATCTGATCGTAATACCTTCAAGTGATCGTGCCAAGAGGCATGGCGCCAAGACGACCGGAAAACATATGATTGATGGCAGATCAATTTTTCTGACAGCCACCAACGCTCTGGAAAAACAGAAATACTTGCACTAGATCTTTAGTTAACTGCGATACGAAGGAACCAGCTGTCGTGAAGTAGAAGAAGCTTTGAGCATACACGTATTACAACACCGCCCCCAGGGATAGGAAACCTCCTGATGTCACCGATGTTGCACAGCGAAGTGACTATGCTACGCGTAAAGGAACATAATGTACTGCTATGCAATCGTTATGTGCTGAGATGGTCTCAACAGACTTAAGCCTCGAGCCACCTTGATAGACCCATGTAATACTGGCACAATTCAGAACTTGATATTATAGTCGTCTTAATTTCCACTTGTCCAGACTTGGCCTCCACATACCCAACGTACATATGAGCTACATGCTAGAGGTCTCACGACACGAAACTAACCTACTCTTTGTATGTCCCTTAAAAACGTACTAATCTAACGTCGTCTTTCCCTCTGGTCGGAAACCGTCGAAACAGCTCGTTACCTTCACCTGCCGTTAGGCATAGACGTGTTTCGCCCGCTCGTAAGTGGAGTTGGAGAACCGCTACAACAACAACAAAAAACAAGAACTCTCTTGCTTGCTACAGTATTCAAGAACTTTAGAACCTCCATCCAGAGCACTTGCCTAGTTTAAGTTTATTTTCTACCGTAAACCTTACACTCACGCTTTCTTTTTTACTTATCACCATGCAGGTCTCTCGCCTCGTCATTCTACACGAAGAAGCCGAAGATGGCAACGCCATGCCCGATCTCAGTCGTCCTGTGCAGGTGGTATCTGCCGCTGTGGCAAATCTGGTCAAAGTCGGTCGTGAAACCATCAACAGCTCGGATGATAAGATACTGAAGCAGGAGATGCCGGCATCATTGCAGCGCGTCGAGACTGCCTCGCAGTTACTGGAGGAGGCTTCCGATATGTTACGAGCCGATCCCTATTCGGGACCTGCGCGTAAAAAACTGATTGAAGGAAGTCGCGGTATACTGCAAGGCACCTCCTCGCTACTGCTCTGCTTCGACGAGTCCGAGGTGCGCAAGATCATACAGGAATGTAAAAGGGTGCTCGATTATTTGGCCATTGCCGAAGTGATAAATACCATGGAGGATTTGGTGCAATTCCTCAAGGACCTCTCACCGTGTCTAAGCAAGGTTTCGCGTGAGGTCGGCGCGCGTGAGAAGGAGCTGACGCATCAGGTGCATAGCGAGATTTTGGTGCGCTGCTTGGAACAAGTAAAAATTTTAGCACCCATACTCATCTGCAGCATGAAAGTGTACATACACATTGTCGAGCAGCAAGGTAAAGGTGCGGAGGAGGCCGCTGAGAATCGCAATTATTTGGCGTCGCGCATGAGCGACGAAATACAGGAAATCATACGTGTGCTACAGTTGACCACATACGATGAAGATACCAGCGAATTGGATAACCTCACGGTGCTCAAGAAACTCAGTAACGCCATTAACAATAAATCCGAGTTGGCCAACGATTGGCTATCGAATCCGTATGCGCTGAAAGGTGGCGTTGGCGAGAAGGCGCTGCGTCAGATAATCGATAACGCAAATGAAATCTCGGAGCGTTGCTTGCCACAGGACGCATATCCCATTAGGCGTTTAGCCGATGAGATCGCTGCTATGACCAATAGTTTATGCGAACTCCGTCAGGATGGTAAGGGCACCTCACCGCAAGCGGAGTCTTTGGCGCGCGCCATACGCGGCAAACTTGGTGATCTACAGTCGCTGGTGCGTAATGCAGTGGTGGGTGTAGACAAGGCGGGCCTACAACAGACCGCGCACACAATACAGGGCCGCTTAGAGCAGGCTGTCAAATGGCTCGAGCACCCAGAGATAAACGACGGGGGTTTGGGTGAACGCGCCGTCAATTTGATTGTTGAAGAGGGACGTAAGGTCGCCGAGGGATGTCCGGGTCATCAGAAAGCGGAAATTATGCAACTATGCGACGAGGTTGAACGCCTGAAACGTCAAGCAGCAGGTAATACACCGGCCGCTAAGGAGGCTGCCAAACTATTGACACATAAGCTCCACGAATTGAAGGCTGCGGTACAGAATGCTTTGGTCAACCGCATTGTACAAGACTTCATGGACGTCAGCACGCCACTTAAGCAGTTTACCGAAGCAGTTATGCTGCCCGAAGGCACGCCGGGACGCGAACAGAACTTCAACCAGAAATCGAACAATTTGCAGGCGTTCAGTGATCGCGCTTCGAAGACGTCACGCATGGTGGCTGCCGGTGGAGCCTGTGGTAATAAGAAAATCGCCGAAATCTTGCTCTCATCAGCAAACCAAGTCGACTCCCTGACGCCACAGCTTGTCAACGCTGGTCGCATACGCATGAACTACCCCGCCAGCAAGGCCGCCGATGAGCACTTACAGAACTTGAAACAGCAATATGCCGACACTGTGCTGCGTATGCGTACGCTCTGCGATCAGGCCACCGATCCAAGCGATTTCATTAAGACCTCCGAAGAGCACATGCAAATGTATGCCAAGCTATGTGAGGATGCGATCATTGGCAAACAGCCACAGAAGATGGTGGACAATACGTCGAATATAGCACGCTTAATCAATCGTGTGTTGCTCGTGGCCAAACAGGAGGCAGACAACTCCGAAGATCCGGTGTTCACACAAAAACTGAATGCGGCTGCAAATAGGTTAGAAAGCTCGTTGCCTGCCATGGTTGGCGATGCAAAACGCGTAGCGACCAACATCAACGACCCGGCCGCGGCACAAGCATGGAAGTCATCATTCCAACGTGTAAGTGGCTTGCATGCACTTTTTAAATCAAATAAACGTGACTCGTACAATTTACAACTTTATTTTTTCAGCTCTTGGGCGATGTGCGTGAAGTACGCGCTGCCATTGCGCCATCACCGCCACCACTGCCCACCTCACTGCCACCACCAATACCGGAGCTTAGCGCGCTGCACATTTCCAATCAAAATGCCGAACGCGCGCCACCTCGCCCGCCATTGCCACGCGAAGGTCTGGTGCCTGCGCGTCCGCCACCACCAGAGACCGACGACGAGGACGAGGGTGTTTTCCGCACAATGCCACATGCCAACCAACCAATTTTGGTAAGTCGGACTAAGCGAACATTTTGCCAAACTTAATTAATCAATCACTCATTTTCGTCATCAGATCGCCGCACGCGGCTTGCACCAAGAAGTACGCCAATGGTCGTCGAAGGACAATGAAATCATTGCCGCCGCCAAACGTATGGCCATACTAATGGCGCGTCTCAGTGAACTCGTGCTTTCCGACTCGCGCGGCAGCAAACGTGAGCTGATCGCCACCGCTAAAAAGATCGCTGAAGCGTCTGAGGATGTGACACGTCTGGCAAAGGAACTCGCACGCCAATGCACAGATCGACGCATACGCACGAATCTGCTGCAAGTATGTGAACGTATACCCACGATTGGTACACAGTTGAAGATTTTGTCGACGGTGAAGGCGACTATGTTGGGTGCCCAAGGATCTGATGAGGATCGTGAAGCAACGGAGATGTTGGTGGGCAATGCGCAAAATCTGATGCAGAGTGTAAGCATAAGAGGGTGGCATATAATTTTGTGCTTTTAATTCATTCTCTCTTACTTTCACAGGTGAAAGAGACAGTGCGCGCAGCGGAGGGCGCTAGCATCAAAATACGTTCGGATCAGACTAGCAATCGCCTGCAATGGGTGCGCCGTCAGCCGTGGTACCAATACTAGGCAACTCGGGGTTGTCCAGGGAAATTTTTTGTATGCCTTTAAGTGCCCATTTCTTTAACATTATTCAAATATAGCCACATTTGAAATGTATTAGTTTAAACAATTATTTAATGTATAAATATAACACTTTTTTAATTTATCGAAATTACAACGAATGGCAACTTTGCTTTTTTCTTTACCAATTTTCTTACGACTTATTTGTGCCAAGCTTTGAGTGTTGCTAACCAAAATCATGAGAAATAATTTATACTACACTGAGTTAAACTAAATATAACAACAAATAAAAAATATGCAAAATTTTTTTTCACCTAACTAAAAATAAAAAATGTAAGTATGTTGTAATAAATTTTTATTAACTGATCTACTGAAACGACAATTTTCTCTCATGTCACGTGAAGAAAATATGGCACGGAAAATATGCATAGATCGAATTTTACATACATATGTATGTATGTATGTACATATGTACAATTTCATTAAGCAATCATACATACGTGTATGCACAAGTGCATTAACTTTTATATGCGAATTTTATTTCATTTTTGTGTTCACTACACGCTAAAATTCTAACCGCATATTCCAATTTGTTTAGCTAATTTGTTATTACATTTCGCAGTGAGTCAATTTTTAAGCTTCACTGCACCGCATGCAGTTTTAATACAACACTCAAACATGCATATGCATGCCTTACAATGCCTGCCAAAAATCCACAGAAATTTTTCCAACTTTTACAAGCTTTGTAGTATTTGTAATACTACAAAGGGCACCCTGTGGGAAATTAAAGATGGACAATAAGAGTTGGGAATTGTAAAATAGTGAATAACTTCTTGGAAGTTTAATACATTGATTTATAAAATTTGCTTTAAACACGCGCTTCTAAAAGAATGCACAGTTTTAGTTGCATTGTTGCGGATACTCAAAGTTTAGTAGTTGTCAGTTTGAGAGCTAAGTGCGTGCCTTTGGTTTGCTTAAATGACAGATAAACAATTTCCTGTTTTATAAAAGCTTTTCCTTTTATAATTTGTAATTTTTTAAATCATAGAGATGGACTAAGGCATACTCTGACCTAGGAGTTGAAGAATTTACATCAAATGTACAAAGAAAACAGATTACGCACTGCTCTATACTCTGGTTAAAAGTCAGGTATTTACGATGGAGTATGGTTATATTGCGAGAGAAATTTTAAAGCCGCGTAATCCCTCGACTTGAACTCCGTTGGATTTTTTTTTTGGGGGGCTAAGCTACAGACCGTGTTTATACAAATTTACTCTTAGCACATTAAAGCCATTATTCATGAGATACCACCCAATATGTATTATTTCGCGAGAGCCGCATAGAGAAGAACTTCCCTCATTATCTTCAAAACACTGTATCTTATCTAGCGTTACATCAGCGCTTTTATAATAACACAAAAAAGCTGGCTTCCTATCACCAAAACAGTCCGGGAATATTATTCCAAAGGCAATTGTTTAATTGCGAGTACGCTTATAATTTTCCTTTACTTTTCTTCATCTTTCGACACACAATAACTCCTGTAATTTTAACACAAACATTTTGAATTGCTTTGCGTGCGAATTTTATTTCAGTTTTTTTTTATCATTTAATGCTTCTCACAATTCAGCGAGGGATAGGTAAGGGGTTTTGTATAAAGGTTTTTTTACTTAATTATCCTTAATAATTAAAAAACTATTTATTTAGTACTGCTAAGTGTTATTCTCTGATATTATTTTTTTTATTTAAGTACCTACGAGAGAAGATAATCTGAGCTGTTTGATGGCAATAATGCATATTTATGGCAGGAACTAAGTAAATTATATTGTATTGAATTAATGCACTAACCATGCGTTGAATAAAGAAAGTGCAATGATATTATGGGTCAACAACAACAATAACTGCTTTTAATTGTTGCTTTAAAATTTTATACTTATTACTTTTGCACTTTTCTTTTCGCACTTCTCAAAATGATTGTTTACTTTCTTTTCAAACAACATTTTTCACTTCACGCGGTATGCGATGCGACAGATGCTGAGCCGGCATATAGCCGCTTTCACCTAAATGTTTAATACAAACATTACCCGAAGGGCTAATGGTGAGCCAAGTAATCGAACCGTGATTAATGTTCATGCGTAGCCATGCCTCCGGCGGCAGCTGCAGTGCGCGGCATACGAAATAGCGTATAACATTCGCATGACCAATGATCAGAGTATACGAATCATGCTCTTGATCGGGGTAGGCGCGATGGAAATAACGCCGGAAGGCCGCTTCAATACGTGCACCATCCCGAAAGAACTGCTGCAGTGATTATATTTAGAAATGAAGAATAAAGATTGCAATAAAGTATAGCAAAGAAAAATATATTACTCTATATATCTATAACTCACAGATTTCTCTGGTCGCCAGTGTCCAACAGGCGGTTGTGGTGGTATAGGCGCACCTTCACGCAAGTAATGGCAGTGTTTCACTTTTTCCGGCTCATATTTAATTTCGTTAAGTATCATCTCCGATGTCTCCTGCGCTCGGGTCATGGTAGACACAACAATCTTATCCCATTTTATGCCCAGCTCATGTAAGCGTTGACCTGTATATTTTGCTTGCAATTTACCCAAATCGGTAAGATGATGATCCTTATCGTGTTCACCAACGTCCAAATATTGGCCGTGGCGCACCAACACTATGTGACGTGTTGCCTTAACACGCACTTTTTCCAATTCGTTATTAAAACGATTCTGTTCTTGCGGCGAGTCATTACGTACCGGACGCACACAGCTCTTCGGGTCACGACAGTCCCAATTCGGATCCCAGATAGCAGCATCATTAACCGGCTGATCACTTGTTGTCCAAGAGTTCTGCACCATATTGTTAGAATCGCGTAAACGTTGGTAATAATAAGCGGCCAAACCGGCACCGGTGCCGACGGCGATACTGCCCAAGTTACGTAAATTATTCCACGCAACCATTTTTTTAGCCTTGCTTAAATGAAGGAACTTTTTTATATAATAGCACTTTTTTATCGGTTTATGCAAAAAATTTAATACACAGATTTGTTAAATGCAGTTAATTAATTGACAGCGGGGAAAGGTCATAAACAACGCGTTGGGGAAGGCAGTAAGCTTAGTCGATAACTGGCATATCGACCTTTAAGTGATTAATGATGCTGCTTTAGGTGAAAGTAATGCCATATAAAATTTAAAAACGCATTTCTTAAAACTTATAGTAAACTTTAGATTTGGAATTCAATACTTTTTCTCATAAACTCCATTAACAACTCGGAGATCAAATATTTTAATTTGATTTCTTTAATTAATAACTAGAAATAAAACTTTTTTTTTTTCTTAAAATAAGTTTATTTTAAAATTTCATTTTATTTATAATTTATAATTTTTTGATTATAAATCGACTATCATTTTACGTCCAACGTTTCGTACCATCTACCTCGTTATATACACTAATCCTCTTCCGGGGATTCATCACCTTCTGGTGTCGCCTGACGCACAAACGCGAAGCCACCATTCAAACCCGCGGAGGCGACCTGCAGACGTTGCTCTTTCTTTTGCTTTTTCAACTTGCGTAGCGCTTTATCGCTTGTGCGTTTACGCTTTTTCTGTTCGTCATCCGCCACACCATTTTCAACCGACTCTTTCACCTCTTCAACTGCCTCATTAAGCTTTGCACACGATTTGGACGAAAATTTTCCATTTACTGTGGGTAGTTTGTAGCTGGCGCAGTAACGCTTAAGCAACGCTGATGAGTCCGAGCGCATGCTTTGTACAGCTTGGCCAACTTCCACATCAGACAGCGCCGATTTCAATCGTAATCTTTGATGTGTCTTCTGTGCTTGCAACAGCAATTGCAGCAGCAAACTGTGCTCCTTAGGCGACACCTCAGCTGTTGTGTTAGCTGCTAGCGCTTTAATGTGACCACAAAGCGCGCTTTCAATCGCGTTTAGTTGCAGTTTCGCGCTATCTACATTCGATCGCTGTAAATCGTGATTCTTATAAAGTACATCGAGGATTTCGTAGATTTGTATGCGTCGAAAAGCACGTGTTTGTAATGTGAGCCCATCACGTGCTAGTGCCACAGCCAAATTCCAAACGCCGGTCCAACGCAGACGGAAAATATCGGACAATAGTGTTATGTTCACACTGGGATTACGCGACTGTAGAAACTCCTGTATGTATTCCTCACATAAGGCAAGTACTTTATGGCACTCTGCGCTTGTCCCCGCAGCGATTTTGCATGCACTATTCACGAGGAATATGATGCATTTATTGCGTATTTTATTCATTGTCTCAAAAACAGGTGCCGGCGATTTTTGTTCAACAATCAAACGTATGAAGGCAACCACCTCATCCTCCTGCACATCCTTGACGTCGCATTTTAGTGTGGTTAGCTTTTGTAGCACCTTTTCTACTTTGATTTGCAGTGGCTTCAGCTCATCACCCACGCAGTGTGGCATCATGTTGTACAGAGACAACATAATTTCGATGGCGATCAGTAGAGGTGGTTGTTGTTGCAAATAGATTTCTATCAGATCGAGTACGCGTATGCGGAAGTGCATCACAGTAGTCACCTTGACACGATGACTTTTTGATTTTTTCTCAGAGGCGCCGACACCACTGCCCGCCTTGCGCAATACTTTGAATGCGTTAGCCAATGCTTCGTCTAATTCACGGCCTTGCTCTTCGGTCATATCATTCAAATCAATCGAAGCCATATCATCATCAACGTCGCCGCCAGTAGGCATGCCACCATGAACCATAAGCGCTTGAGAGACGGCGTTGCGTAGCTTGTCAGCAGCGGTAGCTTCTTCATCCTCATCATCATCATCATCATCGTCGTCTTCGTCTTCATCTTCATCATCATCATCGTCGTCTTCGTCTTCATCTTCTTCATCATCATCATCATCGTCTTCATCACTATGCGCTTCAACGCCGTTGGCAAGTTTCGATGCGGATTTTTTGCCATTTTCTGCTTTACTTGCATTAGCTTCATCTTCCTCGTCGTTATCATCATCATCATCATCCTCATCGCTTTCTTCCCCATGAGCACTTAGCGGGTTGTGTCCGTCTTTCATGTCTAGTACTGCCAATATTTGATGCACAGCGGACAGATTAAGACTCTCACATAAGTGGGGAAAGAGCGCATTGACGATATTACGCAGCGCCACGGCGTTTTGTGAGAGTAAATGTAGGAATAAATCGACCACGACCTCAATCCATTCGGGTTCTTCCTCCTTAACGTAAAAAAAAAATATAAAATTAAAAGTAAAAATATGTTATAAAAAAAATAATACACAATAAAAAAATTAAAACAAAATAATTTATAAAATAAAAAGAAATTTATAAAAAAGATTATAGAAAAAATAATAAAATATAATAAAAATAAATTACAAAAACTAATAAAAAAAAAATCAAAATAAATTACAAAAAAAAATAAAAATAATTATAAAAAAATTATTTATAAAAAAAATTAAAACAAATTAAAAAAGAATATAAAATAAAAATTATAAAATTATAATAACATAACTCCATATAACGAACAAATAACAAAAAAATATATATAGCAAAATAAAATAGATTGGCATAAAATAAATTAGAATTGAAATAAATAAAGAAATTAATCCATTATAATCTGCCTACATAAATATATATATATATATATATAAATTATCCTACATATGTAAATACATCATAAATTTTTGTATTATCAAATTAACGTACCTCTCCGTCGGTGTTTTTTTCACTTTCCTTCGTTTTCTTCTTTTGCTTATGCTTTTCTTTAACACGCTGCATGCACTTGAGCAAATCATCTATCGCAGGTCCAGCCATTTCCGGCTCACGGAATAATTGCAAACCCATACTCAGCAACAAAATTTGGAAAACCAATTCCAATTTATCACCATCAACTACGTTTTTCGACTTCAACTTTTTCTTGCCGCTCGCCTCTTCTGCACTCACAGCCGCATACATTTGCTGCCAGTATTTTAGCAATGTTTCGTCGAAATGCTTGATACGAAAATGTTTTGCTGCCTGCTTTTGCTCGATGCGCCCATTGCAGTATTGTACTAGCTTCAAAAGTGACTGCTTCTCCTGCTGCAAGTCAACCAGTCGACTCTGCATACTAGTGTAAAACATATTTTTGCATTGTTCGCCAAAGTCTTTACTGAATGGAGATGCAGCCTCCTTCTTGCAGATCTCAACCGACTCGTTGACATGAAATATGCCACAGGTGAGCAGAAAACGCAACTGTTGTTCGCGCCAGTCATATTCTTGTCGTACGGCCTTGTGTGCCAGCAGTTGCTGTAACAAATAACCGGCATTCATACGGTCGAAATTCAGCCAAGTCTCACTTTGATTGTCGGCATTTTTCGTTTGCGTATCGAGAAAGATATCACGATAGAGCGTGTATGCTTCTTTAACGCCTGCTGCGCCAAGTACATTGATTAGTTGATGTACAACTCGCGTACTGGTATATTTCTCAATACCAAAGAGCCCGGGTGGCAGTACAAGACGGCGTATAACAGCTACTGTTTGTTTATCGTCAGCAAGTTTGGCGCAACAAGTGACCAAGGATTCAAAGAAATCATCGTAGAATGCCTTCAACGTTTCATCTTTCTTTTGTTTTAAATTTTTTAAACCTTCCACCAGCAAGTGCAAGAAATTTGCGCTTAGTAAGTCAGCTATTGGCTTCTTCTGTCCAGCATCCCCTTGTTGCCAACTATTCAGCACATCAGTAGAAATTTTCAATGTAATTAATTCACGCAATTTATTGCTTGTTTCCAGGCCAGCATCAACATGTTGAGACCAAAAACTTTTTAGGTTAGCACTATTAGATATATAGGTGCCGAAGTCTTCAAAAGCTGGATGTGTTAACAGCTGCATATTATTGTGCTCCCAGAAAAGTCGATAGAGATGTGCGTAACTTTCGGGTTGCAGTAGATCGGAGTTACCGAAATGCGCTTTTAGAAATTTGGCGTTTACGATATTTGGGAAAAGTCGCTGCACCACGATAAGAGAGTGAACAGTTTGAAGCGTTTGCTTGGGCCAAGGACGTTGCAATTCAATTTGCAATAATGGCCACACTACGTTGCTAAATTGTTTTGCGGTAAGCTACATGAGAGCATAAATGAATTAATTAACTAAAAACGAATAGCATGCGAAGTCAATAAACGTACCTTCTCCACCAATTCCTTGAGTAGTGCGTAACCAAGGGAAGCATGATAACTACGTTGTTTGGTAGCTTGTAACAAAGTGTTTATAATACGCTCTAAATGCTCATTATTTGTCAGGTTATCCAAGCGGCCTGCTTGTTGCAAGGCGCTACACACTAATATTCTGCCAACAACAGCGTCTGCGTCATCCTGTGGAAGTAAGAAACGAAATATGGGTATTAAAATGACAATACTTTGTACAAAGAAATTTACCTTATTTCCCACTGTAGCACCCACACTCAGCTCCTTTTGCATTGTATCAAAAATATTCTCTAGCGAAATTGCATTTTCATCAAAAGACTTTAATAGTGCCACTAAGCCTGTGTAAAATCCAGCGCGAGAAGCATTTGTAGCAGCGCCACAGCCACGAACTAGGCGTTTTAACGTGTACGATAACTCTTTTTGACGCTGAAAATATCGAATATTGTAACCAACGTGTTTTTTTTTTAATTCAATTGAAAACCATACCTTCTCGGCATCCTTAGTTTTACTCAACTGTTGAAGCAATTGTAGAGCCGCTTTCATTCTTTTACCTTCCTCCTCATTTGTTAGCTCCTTAAAATGTTGAAATATGGATACATTTACTGTGTTCCCTGGTTTTTCGACTGTTGGTTTATCATCTGAAGGCATTTCGGCGGATCCATTCATTGTGCCATTCAGATCTAGCTTGGATTTCTTTGCCGCCTTGACGGGTGGTGGCTCCGCACTATCTTCTGTTGAAAGATCCCGCTTTGCTGCTTTTTTAACGGATTTTACCTTCATTCCTGTGCAGTTTATTTAATTCTTCTGGTGCTATTAATTCTCCTAAAATTAAGAAACAATCCACGATCAACAAGCACATGTGAATGACAAATTACCAGACTGTACGAAAAGCTTTTTCAGAAAAAATACTTTGCATGCTTGCCAAGCCCATACAATAATTTTTATTTTTTATTACCCCACAATTTTTGTCAGATATATAGCAGTAAAAAATATTTTTTATTTCTTTTAATATTTACTTAAAACAAATATGTCATTCAACACAATTTCGTTATTTCATTATTTCATTATTCATTCATTATTCAATAGAAAAAGTTGTTTGGATACCACTGTTTATTTTGCAGTTGATGTTTAACTAGCACTGTTGCAGTTGACATTTGTCTGTTCTGTGTGTGTTTTCCTAGCCTGGTACTTTTCAACCATAGTGCTTAAAAATTGGCAAAAATACCTTAAAAAGGCATAAATATAGCAGAAATAAAGGCTCCTGCTTATTTCGAGCACAACAACAATGAAGAAAGTACTAATGGTTGCGGAGAAACCGTCGCTGGCGGCCTCACTTGCTACTATTCTATCCAATGGGCGCAGCACGTCAAAAAAAGGTACATAACCATCACGGCGACTTGCATTAGGATTTACTTTTGGAAAGTATTCAATTAAAACGTATAAATTTATTTACTTTATTTCTTAATAGCCTCGAGTAACTCCTGCTCAACTCATGAATGGATTGGTTCGTTCCGCGATGAGCGCAGTGTACAGTTTCGGATGACGTCAGTATGCGGTCACGTCATGTCTTTGGATTTTGTTGGCAAATACAACTCATGGGATCGCGTGGATCCAGCTGAACTTTTTGGCTGTCCAACGGAAAAGAAAGAGGCCAATCCCAAGCAGCATATGCGGTCATTCCTAGCAGGTGAAGCGCGCGGATGCGATTATTTAGTGCTCTGGCTCGATTGTGATAAAGAGGGCGAGAATATTTGCTATGAAGTAATGGATGCTGTGTCGCGTATCATACCAAATGTGCATAGTCGCAATGTAACATTTCGTGCGCACTTCTCTGCCATTACGGAAAAAGATATAAAAGGCGCAATGGAATCACTGGGGTATCCCAATGAAAATGAATCGAAATCGGTTGATGCGCGTCAGGAGTTGGACTTACGTATCGGTTGTGCGTTTACACGTTTTCAAACGAAATTTTTCCAAGGACGTTATGGCGACTTGGATTCATCGCTTATATCGTATGGACCTTGTCAAACGCCAACACTGGGATTCTGCGTAAAAAGGCATGACGATATACAAACGTTTAAACCGGAGAGTTTTTGGTATTTACAATTGCTCGCTGGACAACCAGAAGTAACGCTGGAATGGGCACGCGGACGTGTATTCAAGAAGGAAATTGCCATTATGTTAATGCAGCGCGTTAAGGAACAGAAGGAAGCGCTGTATGTGGAGTTAATATATTTTGAATTTGCGCCTTTAATTTTTGTTGCATACTTTTAGGGTGGAGAGTGTAACTTCAAAAGAGCAGTTCAAGGGGCGGCCACAGGCTTTAAATACAGTAGAGTTGATGCGTATTTGCAGTTCTGGGCTCGGTATAGGACCCTTCCAAGCTATGCAAATTGCTGAGCGTTTATACACACAAGGTTATATCAGTTATCCACGTACAGAAACCAATCAGTATCCAGCAAACTTCGATTTACAGTGAGTAACATATGAGCTCAGTAATTGTTTTTCCTTTAAACAATTTTATAGAAATATATATTTTTCGTTTCCAGAGCAGTTTTACGTCTACTGCAACCCTCCTCCGAGTTTGGCGATGAGGCGCGCAGCATTTCGGGTGATTTCAATGCTCCACGCAAAGGTAAAGACGCCGGTGACCATCCGCCCATTACGCCAATGAAGTTGGCCAGTCGCAATGATTTCGACAAAGACACTTGGCGTGTATACGATTTCATTTGCCGACATTTCTTGGGCACAGTATCGCGTGACTTGAAGTACCGCACTACCACGGCGAAGCTACGTGTTGGCATGGAGACGTTTACCTGCACCGCAAATGTATTACTCGACCCAGGTTTCACAAAAGTAATGACCTGGCAGGCGTTCGGGCGTGATGAGGCGCTGCCACCATTTGTGGAGGGTGAGAAAGTAGCTATAAACGATGTGCGCTTGGCAGAATCTCAAACAGGACCACCAGATTACCTTACTGAGGCTGAATTGATTACACTAATGGAGCAACATGGCATTGGTACTGACGCCTCTATACCGGTACATATCAATAACATTTCACAGCGTAATTATGTGCGTATCGAAGCTGGAAGAAAACTGATACCAACCACACTGGGTATAGTGCTGGTACACGGCTATCAAAAGGTAAGACATGTAGAAAGTTCTTAGAAATCGAAGAATATAGATACATATTTAAAATTTTTTAGATTGATCCCGAGCTCGTTTTGCCCACTATGCGCTCGGAGGTGGAGCGCATGTTGAATCTCATTGCCAAAGGTTCCGCTGATTTTCAGGCCGTGTTGCGGCACGCCATCGAAATTTTCCGCTTGAAGTTTTTGTATTTTGTCAAAAACATCACCAGCATGGACAGTTTGTTCGAAGTCTCATTCTCCCCACTGGCCGAAACGGGAAAGGCTCATTCACGGTGCGGTAAATGCCGACGCTACATGAAATATATACAAGTAAGTCAATTAACCCTTAGAGCGACCGAAGAAAATAGCAAATCCTCACTCATTTTCCAGACAAAACCAGCGCGTCTGCATTGCTCACATTGCGACGAAACATATTCGTTACCTAATGGAGGCAACGTCAAAGTCTATCGCGAGTTCAAATGTCCCCTAGATGATTTTGAATTGTTGGCCTTTACCACCGGCGCCAAAGGACGCTCTTACCCCTTCTGCCCATACTGCTACAATCATCCACCATTCAGGGATATGCCTAAAAATGGTGGCTGCAACTCGTGCACGCATCCCACCTGCCCACACTCGCTCAATACACTGGGCATATCCAGTTGTGTGGAATGTGAACACGGCATCCTCGTTTTGGATTGCACATTGGCGCCCAGTTGGAAGTTGGGCTGCAATCGTTGCGATGTCATAATCAATTGTTTTAAAGGCGCCACCAAAGTGACGGTGGAAGGTGTGGCAGTACTTTGAATATCTCTAAAAAACAAAGGCTTAACTAATTTTTCTTCTTCGTAGAACAAAAGTGCCAGGAATGCGGCGCTCAACTAGTCAATGCTGTCTACAAATCGGACAAAACGAAGTTCAAAGATGGCAGCGAAGAGAAGAGTGGCTGCGTTTTCTGCTCCAATGATTTCGCGCACTTGGTGGAGAAACATCGTGCTGTTGCATCGCGGCCGGTGAATTTGCGTGGTGGCGGACGCGGCGGTGGACGTGGGGGTAGCACCAAAGGTGGGCGCGGTGGTACTGCTACCGGTGGACGGGGCGGCGCACGCGGGCCACGTCAGCCCAAAGATAAAATGGCGCAACTAGCAGCGTATTTTGTTTAAAGCAGAAGGGCGGATCATAATGACAAATCTGCCCATCCCTGACTCATAGTATTCGGAAGTGTAGTATGTGTATGGATTTATGCATCTTAAAACTTACGCAGCAGGAAAGTGCATGTTCAAAAAATATTATACAAACTCAAGTAAACACAAAATACTTAAATTACAAAAAAACAAAAAAAGAAACAAAAAACCGTAGTTAATGAATTGTACAATTTTGTCCTGTATGACTTTTTATATATGTATGTACGTACCTTGTAGAAATATTTTATTCTATACCTTATGGGCACGAGTAAGTTCAACATGTATACGTACTTGTAATTGCATTTATTAAATAATGAAAAATCTTGCATACATGCATACATACATACATACACACGTGCATGCACTATTAATTATTTAAATTAATTTACATTTAATAAGAGTATAAACGTGTGTGCAAATATGTAAGTTATATTAAGAGAATCATTTAATTGTACATCATAACATACATACATACATACATACGGAAGCAAGAAAGCATAGTAAAATTAAAGAACCAACATAGAGATGAATGAAAATTAGTTGTTTTTCTTTTATTTAACTGTAAAGGCGTTTCAGAATAAACTTAATTTTTTGTTGTTGCAATTATTATAGACAAATTCGTTTCAGTCGTCTGGAAACTATGGGTTCACCATTCAATGGAAAACCTTCCGGGCTGATAATTGGCATATATAATTGGCCTAACCCCCCATATGTTAACGGTGACTTGCTTTTCCTAAAATGCGACTAAAATCCAATATTACATCCAAGGACTGACACTGTCGTAATATTCCTCGAAATGCAAGTTAGGGAATATTCTTGCGTTACTACAATAACTTAATTAAAGGCTTTTTGAAATATCACCATCATTTAAAACAGTTTAAGTGTTTGTTTTTGTGATTTTTCAATTTAATTTTTTTTGTATTTTTATTTTATTTTATATTGTTTTATTTTTATTTACTTTATTTTATTTTTGTCATTTTATTTTACTGTTTTTAATTAAAAAAAAAAATTATTATATTTTTCCGCCGAGTTCCTTTCCAATTTGTTTTTTTTTTTTTTTGAGTCTTGATGTTTTTCCAACAAATGGAGGGACTTACAGTTTATACTAAACGACCTCAGAACGGCTGATGGTGTTTTTATGAGTAGCTTTATTTCATGTTAGAAATACACTCGGTGGGGCAGAAATTCCCTGCCGAGGAGCGACCGCAATTAAAATATTTAACTTAATTTTTTGTTTTAAATTAATTTTCTATTACTTTTGGATTTGAACCTGAGCCTTCCGAACGGCAGTTCGCAATGCCAACCACTCGGCTACCTCGGCCGCGTTTTGTATAATTTACTTCATTTTACTACATTTTATTTAATTTATTTTTTTTTTATATGTATTCATTTTTTCCTGTAATATTTTATTGTATTTTTAATTATTTTTCATCTCAAATTCATGTCTCAATTCTGAGCTAACCGCAAATTATTTGAAAAATGTACTCTACTCTAGTTAATCACTTGTACATAAATAATTGGCATTTTACAGACAGAAGCCACAGGTTAGCACCCAGCCCCAGAATGTTAACACATCTCAAAGTGAATTTGATTGCCACCCACCTCATAGTAGCCTTGAACGAGGCAGAGAAGCAACCACAAAACTTTCAAAGTGAACGCTGAATTACTTACGTACTTATGTACATACACGTATGTAGTAAGTTACAACTCATAGAAATAAGCTCTTGATATATGTATGTATATGCACGTGTATGTGTGGATTAATGGGTGGGAATGGTGCAGATTGAAACCTTGTATGTCATACAATGCAGCCACTTTGTTGGAGGCAAAGTACCTACTCGCGCACGAGTCATGTTTGTAATCATGTATACATGTGTAAATCGTATGTTTGTTATTAACGTTGAACTTGTAATTGAAAATTAAAAATTTGGTTTTGCAAAGAACTTGAGCCTTAGTTAATTACAAAAATCCATTCTTCTAATGTCAATGTTAAACCAAAAAAAATAAAAATAAAAATTACAATAATATAATGTACATATAAGAGATGCACACAAATATTAAATATATATACAACTTAGAGTTTTTTTTTATTTATTTAAAAGCATAGCACTTTGTCACATCTCTACCTCTAATTATATACACACATATGTATATGTAAGTCTGTTGGAAATTACGTGCAAACATATATACTCAGGAATGAACACACATTCCTAATCATACACATGTATACGTACATGATTTTTTCAAATGTTGACGTCTTTATTTTAATTTACGATGCATTGTTTTGCTTTTATTTATGTTCTTTCTGTTTTTATGCTGCTTTAAATGACGTCAAATTGATTTCCGTTTAATGTTTATATAGAAAATTATTTTATTCCCAAAGGTATTTAATTGAAATTCTTCAGTGTTATTATGCGCTCGGTAGACACTGCGAAACATTGAGCGCCACTCTGCATGCTTTATTTTAGAATTTTGTAAAGAAAAATGTTCTTAGACCGAAAGGCGTCTCTCCACTATTCCTGTTTCCTGTTTTTTTTTTGTGGTAGCTGGATACAGTAACATTAAATTAAGAATGGTATGTATGCATCCCAATGTTAATTGCGCGCGAATATCGCAAGCACTTGTTTCATGTTAATCCATCCCAATTGTAACGAATAGAAAAATCGCCCGTTCTCTGGTAAAATGACTGAACCACTCGCTAAATAAAAAATCTTGTCGGCATTGTTCCTGCAATTTTATTATTTTTCACATTTCCGCTTGTTGTTTCGTTTGTTGTTGCTGAGTTGCTTTAAATTCAAAAGACTTTAGTTACGAACTTTTTCTAAAAGTTTCAATCGAAATATGACTTGCGAGGACTAATAAATAATTATTTCGATCCTTTAAATGTTAGCTTATAAAATGGCGGCTCATATTCGTTTGTAAATATCAACGAAGAAATCTGCCACTTCCCCGTTAGGAGGAAAGGAATGCTTGCAATAATGGCCGTTGTGCACGTAAGGAATTTAATTAAGGAAATAAAAAAAATTGAAATTAGATAAAAATATAAATGTGAGTGTATTTGCATTAGGCATCAGCATTTTAAGACGTTTCAAAATGTTTATATGTATGTATTTGAATATTTATATGAATCAAAATGACTAAAATTATGATTTCTTTATGCCAAATAATAGCCATTGTATTGTTTCTTCAGCATTATTTAAACGTTACGGTTTTTACTGTTTTTGTCATAAGATAATCTTATGTTTTTTTTTTAATTTACTGACTCACTTCACAGTTGTTTTGTTACAATTATATTTGCCAAATTACGTGATAAAGCAATATAAATCGATTAAATCACACTTAACAGCTGTCACGACACATTTATGTATAAACAAATGTTCAAGCAATTTATTTTTAAAGCTTCAGTTAAATAGTCAAGCTAATATGCTTCGCTTCAATTAAATACTTGAAAAATTAAAAAGTCTAGGCTTTGATTTGTCAGCAGTTTTTAGGATTTTATATTTCTAGCTTAATTTGGCAGAACTACGACAAATTTGGTTTCACTAAAAAAATTCTTAAATAATTTTCAATAGATATTTTCCATTTACATAGTGCAGTTTGCAACAAAATATTACACAAATATATTTAGATTTCCAGGAGTAGTGGGATTTTAGTTGTTCGGAAAATCTTAGTATAGGTTAGACCATAACCACACTTTATGGGTTCAAGAACTTAAACTCGTAAAGGCGACTAAATTTCAAAAGTTCTCAATGCACATGGAGCATTCGGCCAAGGAGCAAAAAGAAATACAACAACAAAAGCCAGTTTATTCGAAATTTTTAGGTCGCAAATTGAAAGCTGATTTTGGGAGTTGTTAGTTCTTAGTTTCGCTCAGTTAGAGATGAACTTACTAAGAAAATTATAAAAAAAAAATTCTAAATTATTCTACCACCATAGCTTGCTATTTCTTACTGATTTGCAGTATTTATATTTTTTGTGATATTAAGAGAACGTATTCTGTCTAATTCTAAGAAATTTTCCTCCTGAATCCTACTGTACACAAAGGAGTGCATACCAAATGCGTGTGAACAGACCTTAAAGCACGCACATTTTTTAATTTATTCCAGGACCATAAATTTTAAGGGATAACACTTTTTGCATTAATTTTGAATTTTTAATGTTAGTGTGCAAATATACATATGTACATATGTTTGCAACTTACATCTCGACGTGTCATTTATGTGTACTTTCCATTGGTCGGCATAATTACTATTTGTATATATATTTAACACATTTCTTACTGCAAATGCTGAACAATAGAATTTATTGTACGCACAAAAAAAATGATATTACTCAAAAAATGAACATGCACAATATATTTTTCAACTTTGCCGGGAGTGAAGTTTCTCTGGAGCAATAGCCACGAGCGTAGAAATATGCGTGTCCGACCATCTTCATTGCCATGTGGCAACTTTTAATATTTGCTTGCAGCAAATTACACATAACAAGACATTGCCGGTGAAAAAACAAAAATGTATGTGCACATAACGGTCTTTTGGGAACTCAAATCTGGCGGAAATTTTGCAAATTCATATTTACAAATGTTCGTATACAAAAAAAAGGGAAGAAAATAAAGCATTTTATTGTATTGGTGAAATTAGTCAAACTGTTTGTGTGGGTGTGTGTGTGCATGAGAAGAAAAGAATAATATTTCTTGCAAAAAACATAAATTACATATTTTATTACACCTCAAAAAGTGCCTAAACAACAACAAATGCTCAAATTGTTTAAATTCATTGTATTTGGGTAACCTACAAGTAAATACTACATTTACTTACATACACTTATTTGTTTGTACGCATTTCAAAATCATCCGCAAATTGACACTTTTTCATTTTGACATACAAACGGCATGTGTCTCTTACATACATACATACACACATACAGGTGAAGTGGTGGGGGAGTATTCAGGTTATGGTAGTTATGGGGCTTAGGATAAAGCGAAGCATTGTTGTTTTTTTGTTTTAATAGACGGCACGCCAGTGGTCACACACACACGTATGCATGACCGTGAGCAGTTGTAAGCTACATACAGGCTATGCGTTAAGTACAAATTTATATGTGATGCATAACTAGATAAATGTACGAAATTTTATGTTGTCGGCGTATAGAATAATTAGGAACCTTTAAGTTTTTGTTTGTTTGAGTGTGTGCGTGTTTTTTTTCTTTTTTTTTGTATTTGCATACTTTGTGCCATATGAGCATATTCTTTTACACAAGCAACGGCATTGCTTATTTTTTAGAAAATTCTCACGCAAATTTAAGCAAATAAAGCCTAAGCATGCAACAATAACAACAACAAAGCTAGAAAAAAAACCGAAATAAACAAGCTTTGAAGTTTTATGCCTTCGCTTTTATAATTAACTGCTCTTCGGCTGAGAAATCCAAGTTTGAATTTCGTCTGTTAGACACTGTATCCTTTAACACAAGCATATATGCACATATATACATATGTGCGAGTATATACATAAGTACGCTATGTGTGTATGTATAATAAAAAAAATTTGAATTTTCTACTACTCTTGAAGATTTTTTCATATTCACTTGCCAAAATGATATAAAATCAAATATTTTGAAATGATTTACATACATACATAATTACAATAATATGAATCAAATAATTTCTGTTCGGTATTATTCATTTTTTTTTTGCGACAGCGATTCTAGAGTGTGCGTTATTCACCGATAACCCACTAAATTCCCTGAAAAAAATTAAAAAATTGTTTAAATAATTCACGCCTCGGCGTTTCAAATAAACTAAATACAAAGAACAACAACAACAAACGCGAAAATTTGTACAAACTTTGTGAACAACAAAAACAACAACAAAGCTAACTAGACATACTAATGTGCGGCTTCAGCGGCTAGTTTGAAAGTCTGAGAAGCGCCGCCACGCCACACAAAGCCGACGGACAGTCAACAGTGACGAGATTTTCACCAGATATAAAAGCCCATTAACGCTGAGCAATCGACATTCAGTCATTCAAATTCGAACTTAAAGGTGTACAGTTGTCGGAGTACAAACGGTTAGATTTGCTTTGTGTGACAAAAGATAAGAAAGAAACGTTTTAAATAAAATCAGAAAACATGAAGTGTGCTGTAAGTGTGAAGAAACAAGGATACGCTTGTGTTTACTAACCGAAAAGGATTAAATTTCGGTTATTATATACTAACAAAAAAAAAAAAACAATAAACAATAAACAATATTTTTAATGTGCTTTTTATGTTTGTTTGATTTTATGTGTACGCCTCCTCCAAAAGTCCTTAATCGCAATCGTGCTCGTGCTTTGCGCTGTGACAAGATCAACTTATGCCGAGACTGCCGCTGAGGATAATGCGATCGCAGAGTCCACGAATGGTGTTGAGCAGCTGGAGACAGCAGCCAGCAATCCGCTGGAGGATACGCATAAACAGGAGAAGCGTTATATTGGTGGCGCTTGGGATCCGTATTCATCACGTCTAGGATTCGGCGGTATTGGTAGGCGAACAAAGACGCGCACACAATGACAAAATTACAAAAACAAAATTCAAATTGAAAATTTAACAATTTTTTTTTCTATTTACTTTTTTGTTTTATTTTTTCTTAAGATGGCACCACCGGCTATGGCGGCTACGGTGGTTATGGTAATTACGCTGGCTACAACGGTATTGGTGGAATCAGCGGCTACGGTGGTTACGGCGCTTATGGAGGTTATGGCAACTATGCTGGTTCTGGTCCTTACGGCGGTTATGGCAGTCCCTACTCCTACTACAATTCACGCTTCGGCAGCGGTTATCCTTACTCGCGCTTCGGTTACAATTACCCATCCAGCTACTATAGTGGTTACAGCAACAGCGTTGTCGGAGGCGGTTTGGGTGGCTATGCTAGTGGCGCTGGTGTAGTGCCGCCTGTAGGTGGCGTTGGTGTCGGTGCTGGCTATCAATATGGACCGGGTATCTCCGGCACAGTCTACTAATGTGCAATGAACCAATTAGTGTGAGCGTTGGTTGTGCGCAAACTCAGACAAATCCGAATAATGCTGCCAGGACTTCATGACTTTGTAATACAAATTGTTTAAATAGCGTAAATAAATTTAAAGTGTACAACTTTTTTATAACCTGAAATTTGTTTCATTTTTCATTTTAAATTTTAAAAAGCTGAGAGAGGGAGAGAGATTTTGTTTACTTTAAATTTTTTATTAACTCATTAAAAGATTTTTTTTACAGATAAAATACAGTTATTTCAAATATAGATAAATAGCAAGTAAAATAGTTTTTACAAAGAAAAAAATTTGAAAAGGTAAAGTTTATTAAAATGAATTTTCTTTTCAAGTTTTCTATTAAAAATTAAAATATATGATAAAAAGAAAATATTTAGCCAATTCGGAGTATTTTTTGTAATGTCAATTGTTAAAAGTCTTGCATCTAAAACCAATGAGAGTAACAACGTGTTTTTACATACATATTTCAAGCATATAAATGTTTGTATTTTACATTGTGTTAATAGGTTTTCCTTTTCACATCTCACTATAAGCCACATGCTTGTCCTTGATTATCCAAAAAGAATCGACGATTTCGCCATTTTTATCATCGGACACCTGCTCGAAATAGAGATGTGTACGATTGTAGGCCTTCATGCGCGTATAGCCGTAGTCCTATAAAATAGAAAGAAGAAAAATTAATAAAAATCTCAAGCTGCCGGCTTGTACAGACACACGCACATTGCTGTGATAGGCGTTCCATGACGGCAACTTATCCGAGAATGGCTCACGCTGCTCCTTGCAGCCAGCCGAACCGGTTATAATCTGTATTGGTGCCTTGGCGTTGGTGTAGGGTGCTTCAGCCGAGCCATTGTACACCTTAAAATCATAAATAGGCCACAGGCGTGTGTAGAAATGTTCATGTGCGAAAAACTCTACATCCACTCCATGCTCATAGAACAAATCCTCCAAGCCGAACATTTTCACCAGCGGCAAACCCTGACGTATGAAAGTCTCCAGCTTTTCATTGCAGTCGTATTCTTTGTCATCACTACAATACATTGGCCGGTGTCCATAGGTTATGATCCAAGGACGTTGTGCGCGATTTTCAGGTTTGTTCGCCTCGCGTAGATCATTCTCCAGCCACTCAAACTGTTTGGTGAGCAATTTGAAACCGTATTGAAAGAAATAGTAAACTTCGGTAGAGAAGGAAACAAAGTGTACGGGTCCCAGATCGAAGCTGTACCACAAGCTATCACGCTCGCCGGGCATGTTGAAGCGTGTTTTATAATTTGAAAAATTGCTGCACAAAAGCGAAACAAAAAAAAAGACGAAAACAGATATTATAAACACATAATGGAATTTCGGAAAACCATACAAAACTTACTACTTCTCCTCATGATTACCCGGGCACACCATGTAGGGCACATACGCCGCAATTGTTTCCACTTGACGCATAAACTCATCGCCTACTCGCGCATTTTCCGTGTCCATATCATAGGCGAAATCGCCCACATGTATGATGGCATCATACATGCCCTGCTGTGTATCCTGTTGCAGACGCGCCAAGGATTGCGCATTCTCATTGCCCATATCGCCGAAAATAGCAAAACGGGGCTGCCAGTCACTGCCTGCGGGTGGTGTAGTGAAGCTGAAGCGCGCCGACCAACCCAAATCGCTGCCACAGGAGTACTCATAACGGGTTTGTGGCTTTAAATTACTTAGCGTGACTTTGTGTATGTACTGTGTGTGCTTTTTACTGCCACCATCGACAAAACGCCGTGAGTCACCAGTTACATTGACCAGATTTTTAGTATCCGCATAGTTTTCACCATAAAGCACCACCGATTGATTGGTTGCATCGCGTGTGGACCAGGTGACGACAATGTCATTTAGTTTATCTGTTTGAAATATGTAAATAAGAGATAGATGCAATGATCAGAAATCAGTTCTCACATCACTATATCACAGTGCGACATAGGTATACATATATATAGGTATACATGTATATATATATATATATGTATAACGTGACCCAATTTATAAAAAACAAAAATAAATATGTATAATTGTGGTAATTTTAATATTTTACAAATTCTTAAAATCAGTCACAGCGTCAGATCACATCACACATCATACGATGTGTTATCACACCAAATCGATGGCATCATAATAAATCACATTATGCCATATCACATGTTGCGATGTCAAGCCAAATTGATGTCATAAAGCTTTTTAAGCACTAATATGCGAAACATTGCAGCTATCATCCAATCAAGTCTTCAAAATCTTTCAAATAAGTCACATCAACATAACATATCACATGATGTCATATCTTACGATGCGATGTCAAAGCAAATGGATTTCGTGAAATTTGTTAAACATTCCCACTATGCCTGTTTGGGGTTTAAACTAATTGCAGTAGCCGTTTTTGACTTAAATAAATAAAATAAGTCAGATTATTACATAACATCACGTGATGTCACATCACATCGTGAAGAATCGAAAACAACTAGTCATTTTAAATAATATTTTACAGCATGTAAGCATAGAGACTTTAAATACAAAACCCCTGCGGGTTAGGGGCTCAAGAATTTACCCGCGGTAAGGCAAGCCTGTCGTAAGAGGCGACTAAAATCCAATAGTTCCCGCGACAGTCGGGTCTTTATACCGGAACGACCCGGATTTTTATCCGGCCAAGGACTGTCACTCCCGCAATATTCCCCAAAAAGTACTTTGGGGAATAATTTTGCGGTTACAACAACAACAACAACAACTTTAAATACAACAACAATCTTGGATATATATAATATTTATTTATTTTATACAATTATCTGTTGTACATATGTAAATATTTTTATACAATTTTTTTTTTTCGTATTTTTCAATACAATGACAAATATATGTTGATATATGTACATTTTAAAAACGAATAAAGTTAAGAAAAAAAAAAAACAATGGTAAGTTGAAATGGCAAGCAAAGATATCACATGATTTTTTCGATGTTTTGATTAAATTATTTATATAATTTCCATTCCGAGAATAGTAATAACAGCCATCGTTTATTTATTTTAATATTTTTTTTTGTATATGTTTTTTTTTTTGCAATAGTCATGCGTCATATGATAATTATTTATAATTTACGTATATATGTTTATATATATTTTAGTATATATGTGTGTTGCGATTACATGTATAAAAATTCGAAAATAAATTATTTTTAAATAATTAAATGAGGATAGAATATATATGTATGTATGTTTGTATATAAACTTTTGGCTAAAGAATTGCATTTGGAAATGGATATTGTCATTTTTGGTATATTTCACAGCCAATGATTACAATTTTAACTCAGCCCTGAAAGTAACTGCCTTGTTTGTCCTTTACAACCCAAAATGCATCAATTATTTGACCATCCTTATCATCGGACACCTGTTCAAAATATAAATGCGTGCCATTGTGCGCTTTTAACCGCGTATAACCAAAGTCCTGTAAATAAATGGATTTTATAAAGTTCCATAAAAAAAAAATAAGTTAGCTTCCCCACCTGACTGTGAAATGCGCTCCACTTTGGCATGACCTTGAAGAAAGGCTCGCGACCCTCCTTATTGCCCGCCGAGCCTGTTATAATATGCACTGGGGCACGTGGATTAAGATATGGCGCCTGCAGTGAGCCATTATAGACTTTATAATCATAAATGGGCCATAAACGTTCATAGCAATGTTCGTGGGCCCATATCGTCACATCAACGCCTTGCTCATAGAACAACTGCTCCAAACCGAACATATGCACTAGTGGCAAGCCGGCACGCACAACCGTTTCGTGATGGGAACAATCATCGCCATTCGCATTGCTACAATACATTGGACGATGTGCAAAAGTTATGATCCATGGACGCACTTTCCGATTCTCTGGCCTATTGGCTTCCTGCAAATCACGCGCTAGCCACTCATACTGGAACACGAGACTCTTCAAGCCATAATGGAGAAAGTAGTAGAGTTCAGTGGAGAAGGCAACAAAGTGTATGGGACCCAAATCGAAGCTATAAAACAGATTTTCCGTACCACCCGGCATGGAGAAACGTGCGCGGTAATTCGAAAAGTTGCTAAACAAATGGGAAGAGCATACAAAATTAATAGTGTGCAGTTTAAACACCACACCTCAGGTACTCTGAAACTCACTAAGTTTGCTCATGATTACCAGCGCACACCATATATGGCACATAAGCGGCTATCGCCTCCACTTGCCGCATAAACTCATCACCCACAGCGGCATTTTCCGAATGCATGTCGTAGGCGAAGTCGCCAACATGCAAAATAGCGTCGTACATGCCACGTTGTGTGTCCTGCTGCAAGCGCGGTAAAGACTGTGCATTCTCATTACCCAAATCCCCGTAAATAGCAAGAGAGGGTGACCAGTGCGCATGCGTAGGTGGTGTGCGAAACCAAAATTGCGGTGACCAACCCAAGGGGCTGCCACAATGATAGATATAACGTTTTTCCGGTTGCAAATTCGACAAAGTAACCTGTTGAGGGGCAGAGGAGTTGGATGAAAAAATATAAAAAAAAACGTAATAGTATTAAACAAAAACTTACCCGATGTATATACTGTACGCTGTGTTCGCTGCCACCGTCGACAAACTTTTTTGGTGGCTCTGTTGCGTTTTGCACGAATTCAAACGTTTCAACACCGTACTCACATACAGATTTTTTGGTATCATCACGCGTAGACCAAGTGACAACAATGTCCTCTGTGGTTTCTTTAAAATATAATTTATACAAAATCCGTTGAAAATGTCGTTTTTAAACACAAAAAAAAAACAATTGCTTAAGTTTATTTAAAACCAGTTAGGAGGCGATGGGCTTTGACTATTCCAGGCACTTTTCGTGTTGATATCTTAAGCTAAGGCGTTAATGCATGAGTATATGCGCTCACAAGGCAATATTTAACAGAATTTTAGAGAATAATCAGTAGAATGGGACGAATGGGCAGAATGAACGAATGGAATTAAAATATTATGTAACGGTTCTTTATAATAAAATCCAATTGCCAGTTTAATTGCATATTTTATTGTCAAGTAAAAGTTCACGTAAAGTTATTTATTTCAACAAGCCATAAACAACTGAGACATACATACATATATTTTGTAGAGAAAAAAAAAACAAACATCAAACATATGTAGATACATACATAAAATTTTGTGCTAAAAATATGAATAAATGCTTTTAATGCTGCGTATGTTTAATTTAAGGATATGTTTATAGCCAGTACCTACTACATACGCACATACGAATAACTAAAAACTATTTTTAATTTAAAATAGGCTGAGATTCGTTGTTAGGTACAAGTTTAGCGTTTTCTAATACTGCCTAAAGCCAATCATTGGTACTATTTAAATGGAATGTGCGCTTTTTTCAAAAAAAAAAAAAATAAAAAAATAAAATCATACAATAATTACAGCAAATGCATAGGACTCAATGTGTTTAAAAAATGTTTTATGCGCCTCAGCCCAATTATTTACACATAACTGCCGTGTTTGTCTTTGACCAGCCAAAATGAATCGATTATAGCGCCATTTTTATCATCGGAAACCTGCTCGAAATAGAGATGTGTACGATTGTAGGCCTTCATGCGCGTATAACCGTAGTCCTGTGTGATGAGAAAAGCGAAAGCAGGCATTACACACTTGGATACTCTAATATTTACACAGCGAAGCAACTCACCTGACTGTGGAAAGCGCTCCAATCGGGTCTATTTTTATCGAATGGCTCACGGCCCTCTTTACAGCCCGCTGAGCCGGTTATTAAATGTATTGGCGCACGTGGATTGCGGTAGGGATCCGCCTGGGAACCGTTATATATTTGATAGTCATAAAGTGGCCATGAGCGTTCATAAGAATGTTCGTGTGCCCAAATTTCCACATCGACAGCCTGTTTATAGAAGAGTTCTTCCAGACCGAACATGTGAAAGAAGGGCCAGCCCACGCGTGTTAGTGTTTCTGTATGTGTGCAATCATCACCATTGCCATTGCTGCAGTACATAGGTCGGTGACCATACACAATGATCCAGGGACGGCGTGCACGATTCTCCGGACGATTAGCCTCTTGCAGGTCATTTACCAACCACTCATATTGAAAGACGAGTGTCTTCAAGCCATAATTAAGAAAATAGTACATTTCGGTAGAGATGCCAATGAAATGTACCGGTCCTAAATTGAAACTGTAGAAGAGATTCTCGGTGCCGCCGGGCATACTGAAACGCGCGCGATAATTTGAAAAATTGCTGACAGAAAAAAACATATTTTTTTTCAAAGAAATTATTTTACTCAATACAAATTAAATTTAATTAATCTACTTACTACTTCTCCTCGTGATTGCCTGGCACCACCATGTATGGCACATATGCCGCTATCGTTTCAACTTGTCGCATAAACTCATCACCCACACGCGCGTCATCCGTATTCATATCGTAGGCGAAGTCACCCACATGTATGATGGCATCATACATGCCGCGCTGTGTATCCTGTTGCAGACGCGCCAAGGATTGTGCATTCTCATTACCCATATCACCGTAGAGTGCCACTGTAGGTGACCAATCGTCACCGGCAGGTACTGTGCGAAACTCGAAACGCGGCGACCAACCCAACTGGCCGCCACAGTGATAGGCGTACGTGCGATTGGGTAAGAGTTGGGTTAACTTTACCTATTCGTTTTTTGTTTTTAAAGAGGAGAATTGGGGAAAGGCGAACGTTGATTATAGAGGCAAACAGTGAATGAGAAAACAATAACTGAGGTAAAGCAAATGAGGACGAGGTGTGCTGTAATAGTGGGCGCCTCGTTTTCAAGGTCACACCAAAAGTAGCACAAACAACCATAGTCTACTCATTAGTTTTACGCTCTATATTGTAGCTATTTCAAGATATTCAAAATTTTCAAAACTTTATTTACCCGATGTATGTATTGTGACTTCTTTTTATCACCGCCATCGACAAACTTCTCAGACGTACCATTGACGCGCCGCGTAAAGCCTTTGAGACCGTATTCAACAATGGATTCAATAGCATCGTCACGTGTAGACCAAGTTACCACCACTTCATTGGTATGTTCTGTAAATACAGAAAGAAGTAGCAAATAGTGGTAGTACTGAGAGATTGCTTTTGTTCAAAACCAATGAACTTGGGATTTTGTGCGAATAGAAGTGAGCGAGTGTGCAATTTTGATTTATTATATACGCATTTATGCTGTACATTATTCAAACAAAAGAAATACCGATAAATTATCAATTTACATGCAAAATAACTGTTTCGTATATTTTTTTGCGTTAATTACAGATAAAAAAGTGCTCATTTAAATGTTGGTCATTGTTATTGTTTCCTTATCATTGCTTGCCTTTTTCCTATTGTTTACAGAAAATTACGAGATTTGAAATAGAGGCCCGCCATATGGCTTATGATGCTGGCTAGCTTATCAGCGTAGGTCACAAAGTGCCAGCAATCGTGTGCGCTTTAGATTGCAAATTGGCGTCAAGTGTAAGCAATTATTCGTAAAATAATAACTGGGTCATAGACACATTCTTTTTTAATATGTATATATTTACTCAGTTATCAAATCCTTTTGTTATTTGACTAAGAAATAAAAAAAAAAAGAAAAATGTGTGCATTGAACATATGATCGTCAATTTCCTTGCTTTGTTCTTAATAACGAAGTATAAGAAAAAACACTGTTACTATTTTGAAAACGTTGACTCGATCGTCAGCAATCATGATTAAAGGTGCATGAGTAATTTTAACGTTTGTAGGTATGTATGTATGTACATTGCGAGAATAATTAAATTTGTTTGTTGCAAAAATTAAAATAAATAAACTACTATTTGATGTTTTTTGCATTAATATACCTATTATTATAAGAGGATATTTATTCGCCTTTTTAAATTCTCATTTCCAATTAATTTTTAAATATTTGCCACAACTCATTAAATACATTTGTAAATTTTAAATTATCAAAAACACTTGTATTTAATCAGCATTTCTATACGCATGTTTTTTATTGAAATGCAATGAATGCATTTACTTATATGTACATTCATTTATTTAAGTTTCTGAAATAAATCACGGAAGCGCTTTCTAAAGAGAGTATTTGCTTGCATATGCAACTCCTACTTATGCATATAAATTCAAATGAATGTACTATGTGTAATATTTAAATTTACATAAGTACTATGTACTTTAGTACTTGCTTGTTATATATAAATGTATCGTACAATAAAAATTTCGTTCCATACATTATAATTCCAGAAAAATTTATTTCAATTCAAATGGAATCCCAATATATACATATATATATAAACTAAACTTAATAAATGCAATTGCGACTTTCGTACTTACCACCAAATGCCAAATGTACTTGTTCAGGCTGATAATGGTACACTTTATCAACATTAATCTTCTCTAGCTTTTGCGCAGCGGCGCTCGCCAGCAAGGCAAATAACACGTATAGCAGGGAACGCATTACGTTCTAGAGCACTTCTGTATTTATATCTATTATATATGCTTAGATATTCGTATTCGCGTTTTATAAAAATAAAATGCAACTCGACACTTCGGAATCCTATTGTTAAATCAGGCAATCAGCAACGAAAACAAATGATAATAAACTGCACAGGAAAAACAATAATTTACAAATTCACAATAATAAAGAAAGACGCAGAGTTGATTTTGATGATATGCTTGTGAAGGCAAGTAAATTGAGATAAAATAATTTACTCTGAATTGAAATTTTCTTTATTGCATATCTAACATTATCCCAAAAATTTGCATAAAATTATATCATTATTTTCTAGATAATGATTATTTATCAATTTATTCAATCATTTCATTTCCAGTTCTATAGTGGCTTTCAAACTGTCAACTGTCACACTACATCGGCAAAAATAAGAAAACAAAAACATACGTCAAGTTCTTTGTTTTGATTTCGTGCTTGGCCACATTTTGTTGATAATTATTTTTAAAAATCACAAGTACTTATATTTATTTATTTATAAAAAATGAGCAGCAATACGGGAACTGTGCGCGCTTTGCCACAATCAAAGGAAGCACTGCTGAAATCCTACAACACGCGTCTCAAAGAGGATGTGCGAAGCATGCTGGAAAATTTTGAAGGTAAATTTTAAATATGAAATCACTTTTTTGTTTCCAATTAAAATAATTTATTTGAAAATGTGCCACTTATACGCCTGCCACGTGCACTCCCAAGCATTTCCTCTAATTGTTGCAAACCATCCGCTAATCCCACACCATTAATAGCACAACATTCTTGTATAGCCCAAGGTTGCGCCAACCTTCGCAATTGCAATAATGTTACCAATTGTTCGGCGCTCAATGCACCTGGCAAATCCTGTTTATTCGCAAATAAAAGATATACGGCTCCTGTCAACTCTGGACGACAACATAACCAACGCAATTCATCCATAGCGCGTGTCAGACGACGTACATCCGTTGCGTCAATCACAAAAATAATAGCACGCGTATTTTGATTATAATGTTGCCACAAGGTGCGTGTACGTGGTCGGTCGCCACTAACATCCCAAATGTTCAAAAGCATTTTACCACAACGTACGTTTTCCACGTTGAAGCCAACAGTGGGTAGTGGCTCCACGTTACGTTCTATTTTCAACTGATAGAGAATTGTAGTTTTCCCAGCGTTATCCAGTCCCAGCATGCCGACACGCAACTCCGGTTCGTGTTTTGGGAACCAGCGTTCAATTAAATTAGACAACCGTATGCCCATAATATGAGTGATTTTATGGGTGAGTACGGTTTTGAATGATATAGCAGACAGTGATTAATGAATGGCTTAGTATTTGGTGCGCATAGCAAGTGTTTTTAAGTTTTGCGAAGCCGGTGCCAACGTTATAACTGCAGTGTATATATATATAGTTGTGATATTTACCAGCACATAAAATTTATTAACAGCTGAAGCAATGTTTTTGTTATTAATACGCAATTATAACAACTAAGCAGATATGTACGATTACGAGCATATTAGAGTATATTATCTAAATATATAAAAAATTGTTTTCTTATACATTCATAACAAACTGTACAATCATAAAATATTGTCGCTTTAATTGCCACACTTTTTGCGTTTAATCAGCATTTCACGAAGATATTCCAAGCCGTTATAAATACCATTACCGCATTTAGCAGAAGTACCATGCACATGCCACTCCTGTTTGACACTATGTAGTGCAAGTTGCGCCTCAATTTCGCTTGTATGCAGCGCATTTGGCAAGTCCTGTTTGTTAGCACACACTAACAGCACGGCATTACACAGTTCTTGACGTTCCAACATCAGGTGTAATTCCAGTGCAGCTTCCGGCAAACGTTTCGTATCGGCAACGTCCACCACAAAAATCACACCTACAGTATTGACAAAGTAATGGTGCCAGAGATCACGTATACGTTGCTGCCCACCAATGTCCCACACGGTAAAGCGTAGATTTTTGTATTCAACAACCTCCACATTAAAACCGATGGTAGGTATGATGTTAGCCATGGGACCGATTTTCATCTGATGAAGTGTAGTGGTCTTACCAGCGCCGTCTAGACCCACCATAAGAATGCGAATTTCTTCCTTACCCATGAGGCGTTCAAAAAGATTGCTTAGGGCGAATCCCATTCTAATGGTTTTGATAAATATACGGACTTTTTTATTTTCTTTATAATTCTTAAAAACTTTTTTTGTTGTCTGTTGGAGATTTTTTGACTGTTTTGTCACTTTTTTATTATTATATCTTTTTCTAGTTATGACATAATGAATTTGTTTATAATTCCAGAAATCATGAAATTAGCACGCGGCGAAGGCGATTCTCAAATCTCGAAAATAACGCAATGTGAACAAGACACCTATGAAATGCAAGTACGAGCTGCAAATATAGGTACGAGATTGTTTTCCATATAATTCCGTCTACATTACTATATATAGAACCAAATATAAATCTACTAACAAACCTTTCCTAACAACAATCGCACTACTTTTCACACATTTTCAGTCCGTGCCGGCGAATCGCTCATGAAGCTTGTTTCGGATATTAAACAGTATTTGATACTCAACGACTTTCATTCTGTAAATGAAGCCATCACAAACAATTCACAGCTATTCCGTTCGAAACAAATGGAATGCGATAAGAAATTGATGAAATTGCGCGATGAAATGGCAATGGATTTGTATGATCTCGAAGAGGAATATTATACAAGCATATTTAAATGAAAATAAGTGGAGTAGTGGAAACAAACCAAATAAATTATTATTGAGTAATGCATAAGGAAAAATATAACTATAACATTATATTCAGCAAAAATCGGCTAATCGTCATCATTGCTGTCATCATCTAAATATTCAAAATTCGTTTTGCGTATACAATATGGCGCCGGTGTATCTTTGTTAGGGCTGATCTTCTCTGGTGATAATGGCTTACCGCTGCTTACTGCGCGTGTTCTGCTTATAGCGGAAAATATTTATTTCTTTATATATTTTTTCCTCTGAACAATGAAATTAAAAGAAAATTTTTTAAAAACTTACACCCTTTTCGGCAAACGTGGCTTCCCTGGTATCCGACAATATACACGCAAATAATCAGGTACACTTGGCGGCTCCATATTCCCACAAGTTATCCCGTATATATGCCCTGGGTGCAGTGCAGCGGCGAGTAATTTCAAATTGAAGCCGTTCGGTAGAGGGGAATAGTGCAGTTCGAAGTAATTATTAGTTCTATCCTTCTTACTTTTATCCGTTGATAATTTCACTGTTAATAACACTTCGTCGTTGTGGCAACTGTAATTATCAGTAAAATTTTCAAACAATTAAATAATGAAAATGCACTACATACTGCTTTGTGAATTCTTCTTTATTCGCCTCGTGTTCGACGAATATTCGTGCTTTTTCAACATCCATTTGAAAGTGCTCCAAGCATAGAAAATGTCCATTTAGATTGAGAAATGTATCATTGAGGTGCACTAAACCGCGCAACTGATTGCCTAGCTCTGCCACTAACTCTTCACTACCGAATATTTCGACGACTAATAGTATTTTAAAAACTTGTTTATTTTTGCTAGAATTAATATAAAAATTTAAACATCAATTTAAAAATGTTAAAGAAATATTTACTGCAATAGACGATCCAATTCCTCTGTGATATCTTTCAACTCGTTGGGATTACACTGGCTGGGTGCACGTCTCAAATCCATAAAGAGCTTTTCAACACCCATCGTAATACAGGCAACGAATGCATCATCAAGCAAAATATCCCGTAAGAAAACACATCCGCCGGCATATAAATGAGTAATTTTGCCATCTGTAGAAGAAAAAGAATTAAGTAAAGAATCAAACTAATAACATTTGAACACCTTTTTGTATTAGCACCATAAGGTTACGCGTTGCTGTCGGCTCCTCAAATACGTGAATTTTCACGCGCTTCTCATCATTTAGATGCAATATATAAGGATTCCGTCCGGGATTCAAATAGACAAAGTTGGTATCTGTTAGTAACTGTATGGAGTTCTCAAAAATATTTTTCCAATATTTGACCGGTAAAAACTTCGAAAAGAAAAATTTTATAGGTACCTGCTCTCCTTTGCTGTTGAAGTGCATTTTTAACCGCCAAGCGAGTGGTTTACTGGTATAGATTTTTGGCACTTTCGCTGGTAGATGCAACTGACTTAATCCATGCAGCCGAGTAATAAAGATCTTTTGTGTGGGCTTTCAAAATAATTTAATACTTGATTATTAGACGTAAATAGTAATAAAATAAAAATGTACTTACATTATACACCTTCGGCATGTCATCGAATAAAAACTCATCGCCATATTCCACGAATTTCATATTGTTTTTAAATTAAAAATTTTTATATAGATGTAGAAAACCAATTAACATTTATAAACAAACAAAATTGTTTAAATAAGCCCGCCTAGTCTATAGAAAACTAAAATGTAATTCAACAGCTGCTCTTGACATATGTATTAAAAAAAAGGAACAGTTTGAGAGCCAGCGTAAAAACTTACAAAAAATTACTTGTTTTTGCTATAAAGCTTATTTTATTACAGTAATGTAAAGTTTTAATTACATATCAATTTTAAAAATATAATACATATTATAATTTAAGTATATGACTGGGTATATACAATAGAAAGTATATACATATATTTTTAAATTGTTTTAATAAATCATTGCGAACGTAGCAAGAAGAAGAAACTGTCATAGTATGCATTTGGTTCAACTCAGCTGGTTATTTGTTTTATAGAAAAATATAAATTATTTTATAAAAATAATTGTGCTGAATGAAAGCGAACTGAAAAAAAGCTTTCAGAGTTAAATTAAGTAATTGGCTATCTGCTGCACCAATTAATTATTTTCGATGCAATGAATTTCCTGCGACAAACATTCAGCGTTACGAAACAGTTGACACAAAAAGGTTTGTTTTCATAACACATGGACCATGGATGGCTGCACACCAAAGCGCTCGATTAACCATTTACTTTCTTTCCCCATACTCACTTATAGTTATCAATGGCAACCTACTACAGACCATCCAAAGTGGCAGCCTATTCGAGCCGGCTTGTCGTATGGCCTCACTAAACCAAATGCATCGTACTGGTCCACACTTTAAGAAGCGACCACCACGTCAACCACTCGATGGAAAACCCTTCGCCAAGGGTGTTGTACTTAAAACACTCATCAAGAAACCAAAGAAACCCAATTCGGCGAATCGTAAATGTGTATTAGTGCGTTTATCTACAGGCAAGGAAATGGTCGCTTATATACCCGGCGAAGGACATAATTTACAAGAGCACAATATTGTACTCTGTCGAGTGGGACGTTTGCAGGATGTGCCTGGTGTGAAATTGAAATGCGTACGCGGCGCATATGATTTGGGGCATGTTATCAAGAAATAATTCGTAGAACCTATTCCCTAAAATGATATGTTTAAATAAATAAATAAATAAATATGTATATTTTAACAAAGCAAATATGGGCACACTTCTTGTAATAATAATGTATGAGTATAACTTATGTACGTTCAACCCTTTTGCATTGCATGTAGACTTAGCGAATGAGTTGGCGTTTTTGCCCATTTTTCGTTTCATTGTTTACATATTTTCCTTAGGCGGCTGCTATTTTCCTTAGGGGTAAGGTATTATTATTTACGTTTAGCATTCGTTGATTTCTATATTCGAGAGATTTATTTACCGCGCGTGCCAAGCGTGTGCTCCAATCAGTGGGGATCGAAGACAATTGAGCGACAATTAAAAGGATGATGGAGCAATTTTCATTTAATAACTAAGCATAAGCAATTTAGCGGCAGCACATCTCATGCATATACATTCATATATGCACGCACAACTAGTAAGAAAGAGTAATATTCAAAAAAAAAAGTTCATATACTCGTATGTACATATGAAAGTGTATTTTTCGCACTATCCTTTTTTAACAACTGTACATTTTTTTTGCTTTATACACACATTCCACCGAATCAGTCACACCTACATGACATTTTCCAACTTTTTAATACCTTTCGTTTCAATATCAATCGCTATTGCCTTTCGTCATGGCCATTTGTTAGCCAATTTTAATCCATATTTTCCAGCAGCCGCAATTCGAGCTACGAAATGTGCAAATTATATCTATATGTATGTATGCATGGATTTGTATGCACATATTTTGCGTGTGGAGATTATTGACCATTGGTTCTACACGTCCAGACTATTATTGTATTTCTATTATTTCTGACTGACCCTTTGTGTGCATGTGTCTCGCAATGACAAGCGGAAAAGGGGGCAACTGATTAAAATCTTTTGTGAGTAGATGTGGGAATGTATGCAATAAGGTATGCATACTTACAACACATATAATATGTATGTATGTATTACAAATTTGCGACAAAAAGTTGGAATATTTTAAGTATTTTTGTAATTTCAAATCCAAAGAATGAAATTGTTTTTTTCTTCCAATTTTAAGCTAAAAGTGTCGCATATTCACTTGAAAATACTTCACATTTCGTTGGTATTTCCGCTATCTGTTTTACACCGCTTCCGCTTCACAGCTATACCGATATACTAGTAGCTTAAGTGCGTTGCACATTATCGATTAAAACTGACAGTTTGCCCAAGTTCCCCATATTTCAACGACTGACCGTTTCGGTTTTCGTCAACCAGTAATCAACAGGAAGAAATTTTATATTATTTCATACTTTGCGTTACATTTGCTTTAGAATTGTTTTTTTTTTCCCTTCTTTTCTTGTGAAAATATCTCTTGTGTGTACCAACCATTATGATTGCACATTAATCGATTCTTGTTTGTTATCGAAAGTGAATTTCTCTTAAAGGACAACATTATTTATTTATTTAATATTTTGCATTTGATGACAACAAAAATTTATACATAAGATATATACATTTGTGCATACATATAACACCGCTGTAGCCGAATGGTAAGCATTGCGTACTGCCATTCTGAAAGCTAAGCATTAAAAATTATAGAAAATTAATTTTTCTATTTTTCATCAACCGTTCGAAGCCACCTTAGTAGAAACTGTGGGTCCCTCCATTTATTGGAAAAACATCAAGACGCACATCACAAACTCTTTTCCAGTTTCCGTTCAGCTCGTCAGAAAACCGCTTCAGCAATTGAAAAACGCCAATTATATATATTATTTACATACATACAAACGAGCAAAAAATATTGTCGATATTTGGCTTGCAAAGATCAATCAAATTTCAGATTAAATCAGTTAAAAAGGTTGTTGCTTGTTAAATATGTTGAAAGTGTTCAATATAGTAACATATGGCGGATTAAATATTTTTTTGTTGACATTTTCTAAACAAGTACATACAAGAAGTAATCATTGTCTGTGTAACTGCAGTTTACCACCTGCCGTTTTAGACGGATTTTTTGACGCGTTGCAAGCCGTTGTGTGGCACGTGTACGCCACAAGCGAAATAGGCGTTAATACATTTCGTGTTAAAATCATTGAACATTTAATGAGCAAGGCGAGTTCCTCACATTTAACCTATCGATTATAAAATTTGAACACATCGCTAACTATTTAAAGCCAAACGAATTAAATTTCCTCTTACAGAACAAGGATGGTGGCTTTCCGAAATTGCTTCTAAATAGAAGTGGCAAATACAAGGTTTTGGCTCACAATGTGCTTTTTTTTATTTATTAAATATTTGCGCGAATTTTCTGTACGTAGTAAGTACTATACATTTCACTTTCATTTATACTAATACTAATAACCAACAATTATTTTCTTAAAAACAATTTTCAGATCTTCAAAATAGAAATATCCGGTCCGTTTTTGTTTACTGTGTGCAATTTGCAAAATATTTGTCATATCAAAGGACAATCTTTACGCCACAATAAACAATAATATACATATGTATGTACATAAGTTGCCAGCTGCATAACGAGCGACTCGACTTCTTTATGGAGCAGTAATAACCTGCCGTTGTTTATATTGTATATTTTGCTTTCATTATAGTATTACTTACAAGCATTACTTTGTGGCCATTTCTGCCGCCTAGAATCTCGCTTGCTTTATGCTTGCCGCATCATTTGCGGATTACCGCACTCAAGTAATACTGCTATGTGTGTGTGTGTGTGTGTGTGAGTGTGGATAGAGAAATGGCTCATTTCTTTGGAGGCAATTGTGTATTGTTAGGCAGTCATGCGTAAGAGTAAGTATATTATTTGTTGGCTCAAGACAATTTTTTGACTCAGATTTGTCTTTTTTCTTTTCTTCTTTGTTGTGTTTTTCTAAATTTTTAGTGCACTTCACTTGACCTGATATTGAGGTATAAAGTTATAAACCACAAAGTAGTTAATTGGCATTTCGTCGGCTTAAAACAACAAAGAAGTAGATATTACTTTGCTAATGAGACATACGGAGTCATGCATGACCGAATCGATGAGTGGCGGGCAGGATGTGTATTTATTAAAATATAGTAAAATGTTTCCGGTTTTCGTTTTAAGGAAGGGATTAAAGAATTTAAAAAAATATTATATTGTATTTACATGCATATATATACATAGGTACATATATACATACATATATAAATATTGTATTTAGAGGGATCTGAGGTTAAGTATGGTAATCAAAGTAAGCGTCGGCAGCCCCACTTCCAAAAAACTTCTTGTAAGTACTAATCCCGCAGTCACTTCGGAGTGAGTTCATGCTATGAGTCGCGGATTAGTCTGAAGTCCCCGAATCTTTTAATAAATCTGTATGTCAGTTTTTATGTAGAATTTGAGTAGGTATTGGTTTCCATTAGAAGAGATGTAAAAAGTTTTCCTTCTTCATAGCCGAGTCAATCACTTAGCACGCCAGTTATTTTTCCCTCATTCGTGCTATATTGGAAGCCCCAAGTGAATTCAGATCCTTCTCCACCCGATAATTCTTTCAGAACTAGAGCGTTTTCATCCAATCTGACGGCATAATATAGCCAACGCAGTCGTTGTTGTTGTGGCGGTGGTCCAACCGCGATTTGAAGCAGATGAGGCTAGCCTACGTCATCCAACGGGTGGTCTAGGAAACGAGCTGTTTTGGCGGCCGGCATTTTATTCGGACAAGGACTGTCACTCCTTCCGTGACATAATTACGCTTAGCTACTCAGGTAATTCTAGTCTTCTAACGCAGCCGTCCGTCTCTTTAACCGCTTTATTTTGTCAATGTCGACGTTGCATCCCATAGAGCACATCGGTCCATCGTCTACTAAATATATTCGTCAAGTCAAAAAATTCTCTCAAAACGAACGGCAAACGTTAAGAGTAGAAAAGTGCTGCACTGAAGCCACGCCTTAAGAGCTGAGTATGCTCTGACGCAGATCTCCAGACAGGGCAAATGGAGCGGTGACGGTCGGCTCGGAAGAAGTCACGAGTAACGTACTCTCTTCTAAGAGAAAATACCTCTCTAAACTTATCGAAGTACTGGCCACTTTTTAATAGAACAAGGTACAGAATGTTTGGAAGTTCCCTTTGGGAGATTTTGCAGAGACCGTAAGAATTGCGAAGAGACAGAAAGTATCTCTCATCGTTTATGCGGCTAACGTGGCTTGAGCATCAACTGCATATACACAAATATGTAGGTACTTTTGTAATGCTGTAGGGATTTTCGGCCGAGCTCCTGCTCTAATTCGTATTATGTCTCTTAGCGATTTTCCAACAAATGGAAGGATCTTAAACCACCTCCGTACCGCTGTTTGATATTTATGAGAAGCTTTTTATTTTATGCCATTTCCTGCCGAGCGGTGACCGCGTTTAGATGGGATGAGTATTTGAACCCATGCCCATTCGTCTGGTATCACGCACATCTAATCACACTGCTGCTGCGATATGGACTACACGCTCGCGCATAATACTACGAGTATTTATGGGAAAAAAGGGTGACAAAGCAGGCTGTTTGTTTTGAGTGGCAACAAAAGTAAGGCAAATGATAAAACTGCACGAAAAGTGAAAGCAAGTCAATGATCTAAAATTTGCCAACCCATCAGACGAGAATGTCTGTATTTAAGTTGCGGTCAGCAAAAACTAACCCTTGCAATTTGCACAAATTTCTTATCTAGCAAAGTTGATGAGACATGGAGTTGTAGAGTTTTGTGTGTTACTTACATAGACATGCATGTATGTGTACATAAAAAAAAAAATAGAGGCACATCTGTTCCAATTTTAAACAAAAGCAGTCAAACAATGCGCAATCGTAAGTTCAAGCATACATACATACGAATACATACATACACGTACATATGTATACACATAAATTCATATTTAATTAAAATGCTTGCTTGACTGAAAATAACTTTTACTGCTCAAAACAAAATGAAGTTTAATATTATTTACATATGTACATACATACACGTACATACCTGCATACCATCGACGCATGTTGTATCACCCTTACGCCATAATACATAATAAAATGCTCCAATTTCCTTCTGAATCTTCCTTACCTCACGCTGATTGGTTGTTTATTTTAGTTTGTTTGCACATACAAATGTGTGTGTGAGTGTGTGTGTGCGAAGACGGTAAGGGAGGAATTGTTGCATACTGTTGACGGCAGTCCGACATACGCCATGCTCTCTGAAGTTGTTATGTAAAAGTGACGGAAGTCATACTTCATGCGAAGGCTGCAGAAAATGGCGTCGGATGAGGTAAAAAATTCGAAATTCTTCGTTTACGCAGATTTTTTTAATACAAATCAATATTTAAAATTTATCAACTCAAAATATTTTAATCTCTGAACATAGCATAATTTTTGAGTGGAAAGTTTTGGCTTTCCGTACATGAAACTCCATACTTTTAACGTGAAAAATGATTTCAATTAATTTTAGCATAGCTTGGCACTTATATTGATTATTTTTTGCGAGAAGATAGTTAGGTTAGGTTCGGTTATACTGGCTGGCTGTCACGCCATACGTAGACGAGCTGTTTCTTTGTAATACAAGTTGGAGGTTCAGCTTAGTTCGAACAGAAGCTGTTGTCGGACGTAAGATGTCAACGTTTTTTTTCGAAGTTTAATAGAGCCTTGATATCTAATTTTGATATTCCGCATGGTTCTTTAAACAGCAAAGCTATTATTTAACCAGGGCGAGTTCCAGCTAAGGCCGAACAGATTCAGAGGAGATGCTACAGCATCTCTGCCTGCATTTCAAGCATGTGTCATCGTTACTGATGCCCATTCGGCTCGCGTCGCCAGTGTCCTCGGTGCTTTTGCACGATTCTACATAGCTTAAAGGCCTTCCATTTCATCATGATCCATTTGTCAGTCCTTTTGCAAATTTCATTTTGTATAGTTCATTGTGGTTCGGTAGCCAGACGGATGGATCGCACTTTTGGCAATATTATCAACGACTCCGTTGGCCGGAATGCCCTTGTGGCCTGGAACCTCGTATACATGCAACCGCCTCCCTACTTCTAAGGACATTCCCTAATGCAATACGATGTGAGGTTACTGCCTTAACTGCAGCTTGACTATGGCGTATTAATATGTATGTATGTAAAAAAATATCAATTTTTATATGATGACCTACGTTGTTAGGTACCTCAGCAGCTTTTCTAACCGCGAAGACTTTCGCCTGGAAGATGCTGCAGTAATCTGGAATCTTGAAGAGTTGCCGGTGATCTAGCTCCGAGCAATAGGTAATGGCGCTGTCGAAATGTATCCGAAGGTTCTTGTAGAAAATTCACCAAACGACGTTAATCTTACAGCTGACTTCTCTCCAAAACTTTCCACTTTACCACCTTACTTTGCTTACTTAACTTTTTTGTTACACTAAGAGATTAATAAATATTTTATTTATTTATCTTCATTTTGATCAGAGAAAATTTTTTTTTTATATTAAGAAAAAGAGTTTTTTTTTATTTTCGACCAAATCGCACTGAAATTGTTAAGAAAACAGTCAGTCAGGCGTAGTTACTACGGCAGCGAATTCCAGATTTTTCTAACGGTTCATGCAAAAAATCCTAAGTAATTAGAAACAGTTTATTTCCAGCCGCCTTCGAACAGCCGCTGAATTTTTATAAGGAACTTGGATTTTCATGTCAGAAATACTATCGGATAACCAAATTTAGACACATCAAACATCAAGCCTCAGATAAGAACTTACAATTTTGATATTGACCACGTCAAATGCCTTCCCGGACAACGAGGATGTGTGCTTTACTAGGGAAACGTCACGTAAAACGTAACTCTAAAGAAAAGGACAACACAGCCTCGGATAAGAATTTGCAATTCAAACGTATTTAAATGAAAAAGAAATAATTATAAATATCTTTCGATGGAATATTTTTTCTTCACTTAAAACAAAAAATAAATATTCAACACTGCGATCAGAGAGCATTAGGCCTTTCACTTGAAAATATTTCCTAAATTTGAAAAGGAAACCACCAACGTCGAACTTTCATTTGTCCACCTACAGAAACGGTCATACATACATACATACATACGAGTACATATGCATTGGCTATTTACATGTGTACGAATATGCAAGTTTGCGGAAATGTCAATTTGTTTTGCATCAACTGTTTTGCTACTTTCTTACGCTCGGGCTTTGTCCATTGCTATTGTGAAGAGGAATACACAAAACGGCATATTTCACTTGTATCATTCATACGTGTATGTATGTACAATATTTCCCTACTTTGCGCCTTTTCACCAGCGGGCACCGCCCACCAGACCGGCAGTGACTTCCTTTTTTTGTTTTGAAAAAATTAGCTCGGTAATGGAAAAGTAGCCAACGCATTTTTGTGGCATTATGCATGGCTCATTCGTTATGATGGACTGTCAGAATCTATTGTGTACCGTTACAGACACAGTTGGAATTTTAAATTTTCCGTTTTCATATGTGGGAAAATCAATTGCGAGTGTGCTTGGTTAATACTTGGATATTTATGTATTTGATTTTTATATTTATTAAATTATTTTTTGATTATTATAAATGTAAAATATAAGTATGTAATGTAAATACAGGCATATGTGTGCTTGTATGATTTTTGCACTTAATTAATTTCAATTTATCACTTTATTAGTTGTTGTTCACCGAATAAATTCAGCATAATTTATTTTAAATGTACAGACATATATATGTACATAATATAGATATGTACGTTTGTATGTATATTTATTTACTTCGTCAATGCATTATATATGCATATGTACATACATACATACATACATATGTAGTCCTTGAGTAAATGAAGCGCTCACTACATACGCACATACATAATTTCACAAAACTCGCTATAATCTCACATAAAAATTCATTTTAAATGTGCATAATGCCGTTTTAAGTTTGTTTGTATGTTTAGAAAAAAAAAAATCAAAAATCACAAAACTCCCACATTTCGCACAAAGACCCGCACACAACGCATTTGCCATCATTATTAACTGTCAACGAGGTCTTTGCTCATCAAATGTCACATTGGACACATCTTTAATAACCCTTCAGCGCTATTCTTTTCACACTATTAAATCAGT